GAATGATCAGGAGGGGCAGAGGGAGAGGGAGAGAGGATCTCAAGCAGACTCCATGCTGAGTGCAGGGCCTGATGCAGGGCTCGATCCCAGGACCCTGAGATCATGGTCTGAGCTGAAACCGAGAGTTGGATGCTTAACCGACTGTGACACTAGGCACCCCTCCCATCTTTTGAGAATGAGTCTTAATTAAGTATAGTGATCTTCTATTTTGGGAAAAGCAAGCACAAAGAACAGGGATTTCCCCCAGCATGCTGATATCACTTGAGATGTTTATTGAGGTAAAGAAGAGATCTCCTAAATCTTCTTCCTCAGAGACACCTGAGCTGGTATCATGTTTTAGAACAGAGGAGGCACCTTATGCCTTTGCAATAGCAAGAAGCCAGTGAATTCAGGGTAATTAGGGGAATATTTCTGGAATGGAGCAATGAGAATGCAAGAACCTTATGATGGTTATTAGATGAGGCCAGTTAATGGAGGGCCTCAGAATAACTGGCCTGTGGGGTTTGGGGATTAGTATAAGCAGCAGGGAATTGTTCTATGCTTTGGGCAGGAGTACATTATAATTGAAATTTGTTATTTGTTATATTTGAAATTTGCTATTTTTGTTATAATCGAAACGTGAAATTTGCTATTATCACTGCCGTTTAACGACTGCTTAGCAGGTTTTGTCTGGCTAGAGATTTTGGCCCTCCTTAGTGAGAAGATGGCTCATTGCCTCAGAATTGAAAATGTCCCTGTTTGGTTAATTTTCCCCTTTGCTACTGGAGCAAAACAGACTAATGCCTCTTCCTTTGACCTTCACATAGCAGTCAAACTAGAGACTGATTTTAAATTATGTTTTTAGTGTCCAAGGAAACTTTTCCCTATCAGCAAACTCTTGAGTGTCATCATAAGAGCCTTGAGCCAGTATAGGTGACTCTGCATGTTTACTATGCTTTAGAAGTAGGTAGTGTGTAAGAGAACAGACAACTGTCCATATCAGTGGGGACTAACAGCAAAGGCTTATTACTATTATGTGGGACAAGGGCCATAGTGAGACTCTAATCTTGAACCCTTTCTTCTGTTCCAAGCACAGCTCTTCCTTAAAGCCACCCTTAACAGCTGCTATGGGAGCAGTTTTAAGCAGCCACCAGCTTCCCAAGAGCTCTTCTCTGACCACTTATAGTCCTTAGAGTCTGAATCACCATCCTAACCCTTGATTATTGGTCTTATCTTATTCTTCAGCTATTTCATATTTGTTACGTTTTTCCCAACAAAATTAACTCCTATTTTCTCTTGTTCTTCATTTGTTAGACCCATAAACACTTGTTGGCTGATTGATTGCACTGAGCTATTAGGAAGACTTGGAGGTAGAGTATTGTATAGAATACCAATCCATGCTCCCAGTCTGTGAGGCAGAGCCCTGCTATGGAATCTGTCTGGTTTCTTACCAACTCCACTCATGAATCTCTTTTGAATTTTTTGATATCAGTTAAAGTCTGTGTCATTATCATTGTCCCTCCAATGAACTAGCATGCAAGGGATGGGGGATGGGACATGACACACCAGCCCAGCCTGGCACTGCTAGTTACTGCTAGACAGTACCACCATGCGGCCCATGGGACATGTGGAAGTCCAGTCATGTAGTCCAGCTATGAAAGCCTGAGGCCAATCAAGAGGTTGATAGAAGGTGGCTTAAAATAATGATATTTCTTCAGGTGGCATAAAGGAAGACTTAGTGGAGACATGGTTGTGTTTATAAAATTCACAAGGGAGAAAAGCAACTTCTGAACCCTTTGGAAGGGGGAAAGCCTCTTGGTACTCTGAAGATAAAAGAGAGTTCTGTTTCAAAAAGTATATGGATATCATTATTCCAAGAAGTGATATAAATGGAAAATACTGGGGGATTTTAAAAAACCAGTTAGCTTATATTTATGGATGACAGATCTAGTCTTCCAGTAAGACAAATTAGTGATTTAGGAGACTCCTGACTTTTCAGGTTGATATTGGGAATTGCCACCAAATTTTCACATACCCTGGTCCTGTCAGAGACAGATCTCTAGCTTAGTGCAATTATGGGATTAATCCAAGGGGGTATTTAAAAAATATTATATTATTTGAGATAGAGAGGTAGTAAAAGAGAGCAGGAGAAGTGGGGAAAGGGAGAAGCAGGCTTCTCACCGCTGAGCAGGGAGCTGGACGTGGGGCTCAATCCCAGAACCCTAGAATCATGACCTGAGACAAAGGCAGAAGCTTAACCAACTGAGCCACTCAGGCACCCCCTAAGGGGGTGTTTTTGATCATAACTATTAAAGACAGACATACATGATAAGTTGTAGTTAACAGCAGTTTTAGCTACTGGCTCTCCAAGTTTCCTCTTACTTGGAGTGGAAAGGCCTGCTGGTCCCACATCTGCCTTCCCAGCCACACCCACTCACTAGTGACAACTGACTGCCAATAGCCTCATCTCTGGAGAACAGTACAATGGGCCTGTTGTGTACTTGTTGACATACAGAGTGGATTGTTTTAGCAGGTGCAGAAGATAGTCCGTGTGGAGATTACAGAGACCTTTATCCTTGATGGCGTAGCATAATTCAAATCTAAGTTGTCCTTTGTCTGGTTAACAAGCAGGTGTTGGAATGAGACTTAGTTAATCTTAGGTCCTTCATGCATGGGGGGCAACATTGATTGTGTGTGTGCGCGCGCGCGCATGTATGAGAGAGAGAGAGAGAGAGTTCTGTTTTCTCTGTATCTTTTTCCTGTAATAAAATGATTTAAAATCCCTTTGGTGGCCAGTCAGATAGCTCTGATTTTTTCTGTTTATTGGAGACCATACACCCAGAGCAGTTCAAGTCCTAGAGAAGTTGTTTGTTTTCAAGAGTGATCTTAGAAATAGGCAATGGCTAGAAAGATGGCTGTTTTCTGTTAGTGTATTTTACTTGGCTTGCTCATGAAACAGAGTCTTAATGTTTCTTCTGTATCCTCTGGGTTCCTGATAGGCAGAGGTGACTTTTGTTTCCAAATTCACTTTTTGGCTATGCGTTCTACTGAAGGTGGAACAATGGAAAAGAAGGTAATCCACGAGCTAGTGATCTGTAAGGACCTTAATTACCCTGTATGTAGTCAGATCTTTCAGTTCTTCAAATTTTACCTCCTACCCTTAGCTTTTAGGGAAAGGAAGTAAATCATACAAAATCAGGCTATAACCGAGGATTTTTTTAAAAACAAACAGGCGAGCAAACAAAAAGCCACAAAATCATTTTGCAAGTTCACTACATATGTTCATCTTCTACTGACAAATTGCTCAGCCCAATATTTGGTTGGTTCTCACCCGCCCACCCCTGCACTCGTGTGTGTGGCAGGGAGGCAGGGGGAGGATCTCGTGTGGATTTCCAAAACTACAGTGAATGTACAACCGGGGGTTAAATGTTTGCTTTGAGTGGACAGCAACTTGCTTAATCCCCATGCCGATGAGGTAAGCCTTTTTCCTTAGCTTACTTTCTCCACTCTCCCTCTGGCCCTTGCTCATCCACTTATAGTCTGCCTCCAAGAGAAGATCTCTGTATTGAAGGAAAAAATGTGCCTCAGGAGGAAAAGAATAAAAATAGGTCAGTGATAACTCTCATCACATATTCCTATTTGAAATTCAGCTGGATGCAACAAGTATTTGTGGATAGCTTCTTTGTTCCCATACTTGTATTAAGCTCTGGGAGATAAAGAACCACGATGGTAAGACGGTAACGTTAAGAGCTGACATTTACTTAACGTTTACTATGTGTCAGGTGCAGTTCTAAGCACTTTATTTATATTCATGCATTTGATGACACAATGATCCTATGTAGTACTATTACTATTCTCATTTCACAGCTAAGGAGACTGAAGTTAATTAAGTCACCCAAGTAGGAGCTGGCAGAGCCAGAATGCAAACCCAAACATTCCTACTTCACAAAGACAAGGTTTTTCCTCTTACGAAGTGCAGCTGGGGAAGACGAGGTCAACATAGTGAAAAGCAGCTAGGAAACAATACAAGGCTCTGGCAGCGAGGACTACCGCGGTAGAGAAGGGAGAGATTAGTGCAGCTTAGGCTAGGCCTCTCAGAAGAGGCAAGACTTCTCTAAATCCCAGATTCTCCAGCTATCAAATGGGTATAATAGACTTTATGTCATAGATTTACTGTGAGAATTGAATGAGATAATGCATATAAACGGCATAGTGTGGTGCCTGGCATACGCTGAGTGCTCAGTAAGTTGTGATGGTGGCAATGATGGCATTGATATCTCTGGGACCTGAAAGATGAGTAGATCTGGGATACCCAGAGAGGAAGAGGGGTGGCTTTCTGGCTGAATTATGAGGAAAGAGGGGGAGCAAACATGATGTTGGGGAGAGGTGCTGAGGAGATACAATTTTCTTATTCCTTTGCCTGAGGTCACTAAGTACCTACTAGCAGAGCAAATTGAGGAGAGAAGAGGATGGATGTTACAAAGTCAATCAGCAGCCCTGAAGCTTTTCACTAGTCTTGAAGCGTGCCAGATGTACCCTCTGACACTGGGACCCTGCTTCATGAATGGTCCTCATCTTTTCTTCCTCCTCTTTGAGCTCAGGCCTAATGCCAGTTGAGTGATTACGAAAAGCTCTAGACATTCCCAGAGTGAGAGCAACCTGTGGTATTTACAAGTCCAGGCTTAGTTGCTTCCCTGACCCTAGTAGGTGTGAGCCTTTCCCAAGGCACAGAGGAAATGTGGTCCTCAGCAGGCTGACAGGAGGAATTGGACTTGGTGATAGGGGAGGTCCCTGGAGACTGTCTTCTGAGGTTATAGGTGACATCAAGTAAGCATTGAGCTCCTACTATGTGAAGAACCGTATATTAGGAGTTATGCATAGTTCAAGAGAAGAAAAAAACATGGTCTCTTCCCTCAATGTACTGCTCATTTTATTGTGGAGACCAGATCGACATGCTGGTAAGAGTTTGTGGTCAATATAGGGTGGATATAACTAAATGTTCAATTGCCCACTTCCTTCAGATGTCGCTACCTGGCTGTCCAGCTCTCTCCTGCCATCCCTGTGTTTGCTGCCATGCTCTTCCTTTTCTCCATGGCTACACTGTTGAGGACCAGCTTCAGTGACCCTGGAGTGATCCCTCGGGCCCTACCAGATGAAGCAGCTTTCATAGAAATGGAGATAGGTGAGTGTTCTAACCAGCTGGCAAGATGCTGTGGTGACTTTAATCACTAAAAGGAATGGAATCATAATAGTAGTTGCAGACTAAGAATAATATCTAGCTTTTTCCCTGTAAGATCCTGAATCTGAGATCATGACTACCCTATGGTTTTGGTAAGGCAGGTTTAGCAAGATTTGAAAGCCATATGCTTCATTCTTCCTTGTGGTTGGGTTGTGTCTCAGGAAGGGTTTGTCTTACTGCACTTGTCTGAAGAGGATGGGATTTTTTTTTTTACCTTTGAGGGGTCATAAACTCATTTGATTTTTTTTTTGATGAAAGCTATAAGCCTTCTTTTCATAAAAATATTCTTATATGTTTGATTATACATATAATTTGGGATGTAATTTCAGAGATTCACAGATCTTTTGAAGCACGATCATGGGCCCTGCCAAGAACTCCTGCTTTAAGGCAATACACAAGGTGGGAGGAGACAGCTATGATGCCAGGAACTACTGAGAATTCTAGGAAGGTAAAGGAGGGTAAAGGGAGCAGTTACAGGCTCATTATGGTGCAGTTTTCAGCTCAGGGTAGGTCTCTTTGGGACAGAGATCAAGTGCTACACTAGCCAGGATCCAGGGTGACTCCACAAATTGAACCAGAAGATCCCAGGGCTAGAGGAGGGAATATCCTAGGAGCTCGCACCGGGAAAGAGGGCCAGGATATCAGTACTCGTGGGGACTGGGAGCCTCCCAGACTCCATAGCAGTGCTTGCCTAAATTGTTTGCAAGTCCAGTAGCCAAGTAGCTTGAGTTAGTGTCCAACCTAGATAGATTAGAAGAAAGGAGCCCAGGACTTATAAGACTAAAAGCAATGCCCACGGACCATCAATCTATGGTTAGCCTTTAGATTGTTAGGGTGTTTGTTTGTTTTTTGATTTTTATATTACTTTAATTAAAAACACACAAACATTGAAGTTATAATAGGTATTATATTACATTTATATTTTTGAGAGAATTTACATTTGTATAATATTATCTGCCTATCCAAGAAAATACTATGTCTCTATTTTAAGATTGAATTTTATGCCCTTGAATAAAATTTTTATAGTTTTAAATTCTAGTTTCTATATTTCTTTTTTTTTTAAAGATTTTATTTATTTATTTGACAGAGAGAGGTAGGCAGAGAGGCAGGCAGAGAGAGAGGAAGGGAAGCAGGCTCCCTGCCGAGCAGAGAGCCCGACGCGGGACTCGATCCCAGGACCCTGAGATCATGACCTGAGCCGAAGGCAGCGGCTCAACCCACTGAGCCACCCAGGCGCCCTAGTTTCTATATTTCTTATATTGAGTTTATTCTCAATGTTTATATGCATGCTATCATCAATGAAATATTTTCTTCCATTTCGATTTGATGTCTTTTCCTCCAGTTTTATCAAGATGTAATTGACACAACATTGTGTAAGTTTAAAGTATACAATCTGTTGATTTGATACTGCTTTACAGTGGTTTGAAAGCGTCCAAGGTTTTGTATTTCTTTTGTTTATTTTAGCTGCATTTCCCCCTAGCTTCTCAGCGAATTTCTTTTTGAAGAATTCTAGCCTGTTTTAGTTGAGCTAAGGGGGCATGGTTTGTGCACATCTGAGCTTGAACTACTTAGGGATGGGGTAAGAGTGGGAATAGTGGGGAAAAAGCAGAGGCCAGGTGTGTTGGTGCAGCTGGAGTTCAGGGGAGACCTAAAGCTGGGGTAGTTAGGAATAAGATAGGAGGGAGAGTTGTGTGTGCCATATTTTCGCCATCTGGATTATTCTTTTATCATCATCTTTCCATTCACATATGGAGAAACTGAAGGTCAAGGCAGTGCCTTGACTTGTCTCTTGCATCCCCCAGCAGGTGTTAGCAAGGTTAGTTCTGTTTTGCCACATCACTGGGCCTGCAGCCCACGCTTGAGCTGTCACATTGTGACCTCTCCTTTTAGCATGTTTCTCTCCGTGGAAGAATACATTCTTGCGTTCATTTGTATGTTTATGTTAGCAAGTTTTTGTCAATTTGCACTCATCCCTGTGCTGGGTATGCTCTATGCATGGAGGTTGGGGCAGAAGACAACATTGCGATTCCCTTGCAGCATAGCGCCTCATGGGGAGGATGAACCATGAACTCTATCTCACAAGTGCCTTCATGTAAAGGCCATGCAAGGGACTATTAAGGTGGCATGCTGGTCCTTAAATCATTCTCTAGTGAAGAGCTATCCCCATCCTTTTAAGACTTGTGGCACACTGTTATTGTTTGATTTCACAGCATCTACCCCACTCTGCAAAAAAAGGAAAAAAGTTCCATATGGCAGATATTTTTAAAATCAAAGTGAATTGAAAAATTATTCTGTTTTTAGAATTACCCTGCACATCTAGGGTGCAACGAGACAGGCATTCTCATATGCTGCAGATGGATGGGCGTGCAAATTGATACGATCTGTCTGGGAAGCATTTTAGCAATAAGCAATATGGGCTTTAAGGATTCATACCCTTTGACCCAGTAATTGCACTTCACTTAGAGTTTAGTTAAAGGAAATAATCAGATTCATACAAATTACTGTAGAAGGATTTTCAGCATGTCATTTTTTTCTTTTTCCTTTCTTTTTCTTTTTAATATGGGCCTAGCTGTTTTAATGCTGGCAACTTCATATATTACTGCTCAGACTTCAACATGCTTTTCTTTTTTTTCTTTCTGTTTTAGAAATTAATTGTAATGCATATTAGATAATATATATTCTCTTTTTTAAAAAAGATTTTATTTATTTGAGAGAGGTGGGGGGAAGGGGCAGAGGGAGAGGGAGAGAACCTCAAGCTGACTCCAAGGTGAGACTGGAGCCCAACTATTGGGGTTCAGTCTCACTACCCTGAGATCATGACCTGAATTGACACCAAGAGTTGGATGCTCAACTGACTGAGCCACCCAGGTGCCCCAACATATGTATATATTGTTGAGAAGGGGAGGTGGAAATTGGGATTGGGGTGGTGATCAGAGGGGATTTAAACTTTATCTGTAACATTTTAAGTTTTTTCATGCAACATCATTTAAATAGTCAAAACCCAGAGGCCATTTAAATGCCCTACAATATGGAATGGTTAAATAGATTATGGTATGTACATATGATGGAATATTATATTGCCAGTATTAATATTTTTTGGAAGAGAAATTAACAACCATGGAAAAGTGTTCACCATTCAGTGTTAAGTGAAAAACAGAGGGTACAAAATTATATTTATAATGTGATCTCAAATTTTTAAAAATCATGAATGTTTATTTACCTGTTAAGGAAATACACCAAAACACATGGATATTCCTGAGTTGAGAGACTGTCAATGATTTTTTTCTTACATATATCTTCTGTTTTTTCTAAACCTTTACAATAAGCATGCATTACTCTTATTTTTAAATGATTATTTTTCTGATTCTAAGTATTACCAGCCTTTTTTATGCATATATTTTATTTTTGCAAGATAATATCCTTTTATGCATGTTACATGCTTTCTAGTGTACATTTTCATTTTGCAATATATTGTGAATATTGTCCTGTGTTTTCATTCACTTGTCTACATCATTTTAAATGGTTGCACAATATTCCATCCTATGCATGCATTTACTTAACCAATCCCCTGTGACACTGAGGTTATTTTCAGGTTTTCACTATTAAAAGGGACTCTGTGACAAATATCCTTCCATCAACATCTTTTGTGTATCTCTTTGTAATTTTGTTAAATTCCTAGAAACAGAATTGCTGGGTCAAAAAATATATGCCTTTAAAGTTTTGGGAGCCACTGCTTTATCACTTACTGATTATGTATAAAAATACCTTCCCTATCCTTGCCAATACTGGGTATTTTTATTATTTTTTTGTTAAGGATTTTATTTATTTGTCAGAGAGAGAGAGAGAACACAAGCAGGGGGGAGCAGCAGACAGAGGGAGAAGCAAGTGGAGGGAGAAGCAGGCTCCCCATTGAGCAAGGAGCTCAATGCTGAACTCAACCCCAGGACCCTGGGATCATGACCTGAGCTGAAGGCAGACACTTAACTGACTGAGCCACCCAGGCGTCCCATTTTTATTCTTTTTAATATTTGTTAATATAGTAGGAGGTAACAGCATCTCTGTATGCATCTTTTTATGCCTTTGATTCTTAGTGAATTTGAATGATTTAATTTCATATGCTTTTTAGCCATTTTTATTTCTTTTATAAATGTTTTTCTTTGTAATCTGCCGAAAAACATGAAGAAACCTCTTTTCACATGTGCAGAAAAGAATTGCATGGTATTCAGTGGAATTTGATGGGATACTTGTTGATGTTGACAGTGCCCTCAGGCAGTGCTAGTCTGGAAAAGACAGTGGGCCTAAGGAACTGGTGATTGCTCCCACTGCTTTTGGAGAAGTGAGACTTTGGGGCTCAAATAATGACTGGCAGTGATATTAACTGTCTTTACTGACCTATAGAAGCTACCAATGGTGCAGTGCCCCAGGGCCAGCGACCACCTCCTCGTATCAAGAATTTCCAGATCAACAACCAGATTGTAAAGCTGAAATACTGTTATACATGCAAGATCTTCCGGCCTCCCCGGGCCTCCCATTGCAGCATCTGTGACAACTGTGTGGGTGAGTAAAACCAAAGGGACTTTGCTGGGGGAAAGGCTGAACTGAAGGAGAGGGTCAAGGTTATTTTTCTAGGGAAGAATCAGTAGTGGTGGGAAGATCAATTTATATAGGAAATAAGCTAGATTTAGTTAGGAAACTTTAGGAAGCAAGGTACTGAACAGCTGTAGATCAATTGTACTTCTATAGATCATATCATCATTTAAATATCCTCTAGTCTGAAATGTATTTAAAAAACCTTTTTGATAAATGGGGAAGTAAACCTGACCTGTTTTTCAAATCGGGATTTGTTTCAAGTGGAGCCCGCCTTACTTGGGGGGAGGAGAGCTCTAGTCCACTGGAGGGCAGCATCGGGGAAGGAAGGGATATGTAAGAAGTAGTGTTCCCAAGAAGAAAGTTGCTAGCATTTATTGAGTTCCTACTATATCCCAGGCACTGTGCTAAGTGCTTTCCCTTTCTCTTATTTAAGACTCATCAGAACCCCATTTGGTGGGTATTAGCCCCTTTTTACAGATGAGGAAATAGGTGATGCATCTTTGTGCAGGCTCATGTAATTAATATGATATGAAACTGGAGTAGGTCTGATTCCAAAACTGTCATTTCATCTTTCTCTGCCGATGTTGCAAGGGTGGTAGGTGTGCATAGTACATGGGTCTCTGCTTCTATCTGCATATATGTGGCTTAGTTGTAATCACTGCCTACTGTGTGTTGAACTCTGGGAAAGATCAGAAACAGGCAGTAAATATGTCTGTTGATAATGTGCAACTCCTTACCTTACCAATAATCATACTTTTAAAAAAAGATTTTATTTTTTTATTTGAGAGAGAGAGAGAGAGCACAAGTGCACATGCGTGCAGGGTAGGGATTGGGGGAAGGAGCAGAGGGGGAGGGAAAAGGATAAACAGACTCTGTCCTGAGAACAGAGCCCAACACAGGGCTCAGGGTTTGATCCCAGGACCCTGAGATCATGATCTGAGCCAAAACCAAGAGTCAGATGCTTAACTGCTGAGCCACCAGGCTCCCCAAGCATACTTCTAGCACTCTTTGTATATGCCATGAAACATGCCTCACTGAGTACATTGCCTTCTTCTTATTAGCCAATTCTTTGGGCAAATGTTGGGAAGATAAAGCTTACTTTATATGGTAAAAATCTGTATGTAGATAGGACTTTTATAAATTAAAACTTGTTTTAAATTAGATAGGAAGCTTTATATTTCAAGAAGTTCTGATATGAAGGTTTTTTTTAAAGATTTTATTTATTTATTTGACAGACAGAGATCACAAGTAGGCAGAGAGGCAGGCAGAGAGACGGGGGAGCAGGCTCTCTGCTGAGCAGAGAGCCTGATGTGGGGCTCGATCCCAGGACCCTGAGATCATGACCTGAGCCAGAGGCAGAGGCTTAACTCACTGAGCCACTCAGGCGCCCCAATATCTGTAATTCTTGATCTAGATATTACCCTAATCAGTTGGATGTGTCTTTTCCACATATTCTTTTCCTTTGCTGAAAAGATATATTGTAGCCATTTAGCCAGGAGATGTACCATTCTGACAATCTTAATTTTGACCAGTACATAGCTCATTTTTTAAATGCTGTATTTTATTCATTAAAATAACACATGTTCATTGTAGAAAATATGGGAAGTACAGCAAGTACAAATAAAACTTAATCCCAAATTTACTCTCCATTTTTCTGTATCTCCTTCCACTGTCGCTTGTTTGGAAGTTAGATCACACATGATAGAGTTTTTTTCTTAAAGATTTTATTTGTTTATTTGACAGACAGAGATCACAAGTAGGCAGAGAGAGAGGAAGGGAAGCAAGCTCCCTGCTGAGCAGAAAGCCCAATGCGGGGCTCGATCCCAGGACCCTGGGATCATGACCTGAGCCGAAGGCAGAGGCTTTAACCCACTGAGCCACCCAGGCACCCCACACATGATAGAGTTTTTAATCCTGCCTTTGTCATTTAACATTATATCCTGAGCATTTTTCTACATCTTTAATAAATATTTTTTGAATATATTATTTTAATGACTGCATAATCCATCATATGGCTATATTCTAGTTTATTTAGGCAGTTTCCTCTAATTAAATATTATTTACTATTCCATTTTACTCATTATTATTACACTGCAATCAAAATGATTAAATTTAAGGATGTGGAGAAATTGGAACCTTCATATACTGCTGGTGGGAATATAAAATGGTGCAGCCACTATGGAAAAAAGTTTGGCAGTTCCTCAAAAAGTTAAACATGGAATTATCATATGATCCAGCAGTTCCACTCCTGGATGTGTGTGTGTGTGTGTGTGTGTGTGTGTGTGTGTGTGTGTATCTAAATTAGTCTGTTCAGACTACCATAACAAAATACCACAGACTGGGGAGCTTAAAAGAAATTTATTTTTTCACAGTTCTGGAGGTTAGAAGTCCAAGATCAGGGTGCCGACAGGATTGATCTGGTGAGGTCTCTGTCTCTGGCTTGCAGGGGCCACCTTCTTGCTCTGTTCATATGGCTAGTTTTCTGTGCTCATGCACTCCTGGTGTCTCATCTTCTTCCTATAAGGATACCAATCTGACAGGATTAAGGCCTTACTCTTATGACCTCATTTAACCTTAGCTACCTCCTTAGAAGCCCTGTCTCCAAATACAGTCACATTGGAGGTTAGAGCTTCAACATATAAATTTGGGGGGGGGACACAATTCTGTCCATAAAAACACCAAAAAAGAATTGAAAATAGATCAAACATTTCTGTATATCAGTGTGCATGGCCCGTATTTCCAAAAGATGGAAACAACGTCCATCAACAGATGAATGAATAAACAAATGTGGTATATCCATACAATGGAATATTACTGAGCTATAAGGAGGAATGAAGTGCTGATATATGCTGAATGTGGATGAATCTTGAAAACATTATGCTAAGTGAAAGAAGCCAGACAGAAAAAGTCAAATATCGTATGATTGCACTTATGTGAAATATCTAGAATGGGTATAGAGACAGAAAGATTAGAGGTTACCAGGGTCTGGGGGAAGGGGAAAACAGAGAGTTACTCTTTAATGGGTACAGAGCTTCTCTTTGGGGCTGGTGAAAATTTTTGGAAATAGGTAGTGGTGATGGTTGCACAACACTGAATGTAATCAATGCCACTGAATTGTACACTTAAAACGAATAAATTGGCAAATTATGTATTATATATTTTGCCACAATAAAAAATCTAATAAAAAATTACTGAACTTAAATTTCTGTACACATCTCTATTTCCTTATGAAAAGTTACTGAAAATGGATTTATTTTGCCAAAGGGGTGTGAGCTTTATTACGGCCATTGATACACACTGCCAAATTGCTTTTCAGAAAGGCTCTCTGAATTTATACTCCCACAAAGAGTATATTAGTATCTATTTTATGCTATTCTTACCAGCACTGGATATTATTTTTTTATATTCTTATTTTGATAGATAAAAATTCTTATTTTATACTAGTATTGCACTGAATTATTAGTGAATCTGAAAACATTTAAATATATGGTTATGTGGTATTTAACTGTTTTTGCCCTTTGGCTATTTTCTTGAAGGAGTATTTTGTATTTTGTTACTGATTTGTAAGGCTTTCTCAGATACTAAGGTACAAAATTGACATATATTTCCATTTCTTTTTCCTGTTTAATATTCTTTTATAGTATTTTTAACATGTATAAAATATTTTTAAGATTTATGGAGTCAAGTACATTTTTCTTTAACATCTGTGTTTTCCTCTATTAATTTTATGCTTACTTAGAAAATCCTTATCTGTACAGTGGATAAATGTTCATCTGTTCTTTTTTAAAAAGACTTACTTATTTATTTTCGAGAGAGAGAACAAGAGCAGGAGCAGGAGGAGCAGAGAGAGAGAATCTCAAGCAGACTCCGTGTGGAGTGCAGAACCTGACTTGAGGCTCGATCTCACAATCCTGAGATCATGACCTGAGTCAAAACCAAGAGTTGGCCGCTCAACAGGCTGTGCCACCCAGGCGCCCCTCATCTATTCTTTATGGTTATTTTTTGGTTATATTTTGTTTTTATATTTATTTTTTAAACTTTTTTTAGAGAGGTGGAGGGGACAGAGGGAGAGGGAGAAAGAGAATCTTAGGCAGGCTTCACATCCAGCTCAGAGCCCAGTGTGGGACTGGATCTCACAACCTTGAGATCATGATCTGAGTGGAAATCAAAAGTCAGACACTTAACTAACTGAGCCACCCAGGTGCCGCTGTAGTTTTATCATTTTTTTTAAGCTAGAGGTTAAGAAAAACCACACTACTCATTTTTCAAAATTTCTTTGGCTATTTTCACCTACTTATTCTTCCTGAACTTAGTAAGTCCACCTAAGATTTTTCTTTGGAAAAGCCAAATCTCTTGTCACCTGGCAGTGAGGCAGCTTGCTTGACCCCTCAGTGCCTTAGTTTCTTCAACTGCAATGTGAGGAAAAGAATATCTTCTTTTGCTTGACTTCCAGAGTGATTGTGGGGATCAAATGAAATGACTGAAAACATTGTGAAAAATAGAAACCAGTGTTTTTTATAATCAAAATCGGCAGTGATCTTGGGGGTCTCTAAATCAGGTACTATGTGGATGGCATGCTATGCTTTGTTTTGGAGGCTTTGGCACTGGACTCTCTCTTTCTCCCACAGAGCGCTTCGACCATCACTGCCCCTGGGTGGGGAATTGTGTTGGAAAGAGGAACTACCGCTACTTCTACCTCTTTATCCTATCTCTCTCCCTCCTCACGATTTATGTCTTCGCCTTCAACATCGTCTATGTGGCTCTCAGTGAGTATGCAGGGCAGTGTCTGTTGGTGACGGGTGGGAAAACACTTTGGGAGCTAAGGGGAGTGGTTGGGTTTCTTGGTGGGACTTTACCATTGCAGAGGCACCCTAGGACCAATTAGAAATGAATACTACCCTCTGCTCTCAAGCTTAGCACCAAACCTCAACTCATATCAATCCATATTCCTGAGAATGATGACCTTGTCATTGGCCTTCTGCTGAAGACCGAGGCTCTGATTACTGTACCCAGTAATCAGGGTACCCAGAGTAGTGGGCATTTCTGAGGTGATCCCAAAGGTTGAGGAAGTATTTTGGCTCTGCATCCTTTCTTCTGCCTTGTAAGACCTGATCTGTGCCAGGTGGTAGAAGGGGTTATACAAGAGAAATGTCTTTCAGTAGCTCGTGGTCTACTTTGGGAGACAGAAAATACACACCCACATGTATGCATGTGCATGCACGCACACGTGCACGCACACGCACACACACCAAATCACCCTAAAGCCAGATGGGGTGTGGAGTTAAAGGAGGCTTCTTCATCAGGAGATGAGTTCTCAGCTGGATTTTGAACAAGGGAGGTATATGGATTGGTGAGGAGAAAGGATTTTTCTTGAATATTTCTGATTTCTTTCATCTATGAATGAATATTCCCCATCCACGCCCATAGTTGGGGGCTCAGGAAAAGGGAGGGGAGCGGGAAGCTTGACTTCCGCCAGACTCTGTAGTCCAGTGCCAGGTCCCGCAGTGAAAATGTAAACTCTTTAGTGAGGATACTGCCAGCTTGTAGGTGAGAGTCCCTTGTTTGAGTGAGGGCTTAATCTCTTAGCAGCTTGTAACATGGGATAAGGAGGGAAGGAAATGAGTGGGTACTAGGATAAATGTGCATTTTTTTACTAAAGTCATTGATTTTTCTTTCTACTTGTCCTCCCAATTTAACAGAATCCTTGAAAATTGGCTTCCTGGAGACGTTGAAAGAAACTCCTGGAACATATCCTCCCCTGGCAGTATGTCCCTGTGACGCCCTCTTAAACTAGTTTCGAGTAGGCTTTCTCTCTGCATTTCTCCCACCATCTCATTTTTTTATCTGTTAGAGAGTGCCAAGATCTAAAATTAAAAAAAAAAAATGTAGTCTTAATGGTAGCAACCAGAATGGAAGATGGCCAGGGCTTAAAGGGAGGTCTTTCCCTCACTCCTTTCTCCACTGCCTCCCTCCCTCCCTCCACAGCCCTGCCTCCTCTAGTGGGCTGTGTTTGTTTCAGTACACCTCTTACCTCACTTGACCAAAGCCCCCCCCCCCTTTCTGTTATAGCTCAGGCTTATTTTGTACAACAGTTGCATTTCTGAGAAAGAGATTCCAATGGGATTTCTGTAAGTCACGTTCTGTTTTTCCCACCAGTTTTTCATTTATAAAGTTTATTTTTCGATGGATTTTCCACTGGTAGTGAAGGCCAACATTATTTAGCTTTGGCCTTCTTCTAAACTTTCTCTTCAAAGAGCTAATGATGAATAAACAAACACTTAAAAACACCAGAAACATTAGAGAGCCACTTGTAGTGAATAAATAGGAGTCCTTTACCTTTCACATATCCAGTGAGTTTAGAATTCATCTGTTGTTATATATGAATACTTGGCCATTTCTGATATATGTTCTGAGAGGTAAAGACGGTATGATTGTTGCCATGAGGCTGAGGCATTGAGTCCCCTGGTGTAGCTTCTTCAACATTCCTTAGCATTACCTCACTGTCCTAGAAGTGCTCATTTGCTTCTTCACACTGTGGTCCGTCGTGGGACTGACTGGATTTCACACTTTCCTCGTGGCTCTCAACCAGACAACAAATGAAGACGTGAGTCAACTTTCCCTCTTCCTCATCACATATTCTTCCTTCTCCAAAGCCTGTGCTCTCATTACCTGCCCGAGAACAGAGTCCCCAGGGCTTGGTAGGTCAAGGCGGACAGAAAGCTGGTTTGGGAGATTGTTAAATCCAGTGTGTGGAAGAGGAAGCACACTGCTTTGTTTGGGAAGAAGAGGTTCAGTGGTTGAGTGGGTACAAGGTCTTTAGCTGTTCATAAGTCCTTACAGGCTAGTTAGGGCCTCTGGATTTGGAATGGAGAGGGACAGTTGCACTGAATAAATCCTTGCTTTTTAAAACTTACCAATTAAGGGGCACCTGGGTGGCTCAGTCATTAAAACTTACCAATTAATCCATGTTCATTGTAGAAAATCAGAAAATGCAGATGAGTAAATCACAGCAAGTAAGTCCCCATAACTTTACCTCCTGGATTTCACCATGGTTCTGTTTTTTTTAAGTTTTTCTCTAAATTCACCATTGTTAATGGTATGATTTGTAGTCCTCCAGACTTGTTCCTGTGTTTGTTTAGATGAATATATATTTTGTATTTTTAATTGAAAATAATACATGCTGTTCAGCCTCTGAGTTTTCACTCGATTGTCAATATTTTTCTATGGCTATGCAGGTATTTCTTTTTTTCCTGTTGTGGTAAAATATACATATTATAAAATGCACTGTCTTAGCCATGTTGAAATGTAGGATTCAGTGGCAGGAAGTACATTCATGTTGTTGTGCTACCATCACCACCATCCATCTCCACAGCTTTTCATCTTTCCATGCTGCAGGTGTTTCTGCAACATAATTTTTACTATAGGCCTTGGCTTTTATCTTGCAGATCAAAGGCTCATGGACGGGGAAGAATCGCGTTCAGAATCCCTATAGCCATGGCAACATTGTGAAGAACTGCTGTGAAGTTCTGTGTGGCCCCTTGCCCCCCAGGTACTCAGCGGACTAGAAGATTCTGGGATTCTTGGGACAAGCAGTTCAACCTGATCCTATTACCTGTCCTGATGCATTCTTTTTTTTTTAATTAGAGAGAGAGAGAGAGCAAAAGTGGGGTGGGAGGGGACAGAGGGAGAGGTAGAGAGAATCCTGAAGCAGATTCCCCACTGAGTAGGGAGCCTAACACGGGGGCTCGATCTCAGGGCCCTGAGATCATGACCTGAGCCGAAATCAAGGGTTGGACACTTAACCGACTGAGCCCCCCAGGTGCTCCTGATGCATTCTTCTCAATGTGGCCTTTTGGGGTCAAATGGGTTTTCCTGGGAATTATCCCTTGGTGCCATATCTACATGGACCGCAGACCACAGGGATGACCTTTTTCTTTTGAAGGGATGACCTTTCATTCTTATTTATTTGTTCCCTGCCTAATGTGGTGTTCCATGGTCTGTTGAAGAAAAAACAGTGGAAGACAGGAGGCATGTGCTAGGAAACACTAGGCTGCTAAAGGGCAGGTTTATGTTTTCTAGCACACACAGAGAGGTTCTGGTTGGGGCAGATGGGTGGAGGGGTGAATACAAAGTGCTTTTATTAACGGTCCTCTCTCCTTCAGTGTGCTGGACCGAAGGGGTATTTTGCCACTGGAGGAAAGTGGAAGTCGACCTCCCAGTACTCAAGAGACCAGTAGCAGCCTTTTGCCACAGAGCCCAGTAAGTATTCCTGACCTAACAGCTGAGTCAGTGATAGAAGGTGTAGGCTAATTTATACCTTTGAAATATAATTAGGCAATTTCATGTCCAGTCATTCCAGCTTCTCTGTCTCTGCTTCTGCCCTGACATTGTCCTCAGATCTTTGTGCCCTTGAGGTGGATTAAGAGCTAATCATTTCTTAGACATTCTGTGCCAGTCACTGTGCTAGGTGCTAGGGATATGCCAGTGAACATGACAAACAATGTCCCTGATCTCAAGGAGCTCATTGTCTAGTGGGGATGTGAGACAAGAAAATATGCCATTGCTCAATGTTATGAAAAGTGACTCGAGGAGGAAAGCATTAAAATGCTGTCAGACCTAAGATAGGGGTGAGGGCAGTAGGTTCGAGTTAATGGAGGGGTTATCCTGGTGGAAGGGGGCTTCCTCCCTGGCATATGCAGATGTTGTAGAAGATCTCCCAGTTCTCTTGCTCAGGATATGCTTTACAAAGTATGTTCCTAAAAAGTTAGTATTTGACATTTCTTTTTAAAAAATTTTTATTTATTTATTTATTTATTTATTTGAGAGAGGGAGAGCACAAGCCGGGGGGAGGAGCAGAGGGAGAAGCAGACTTCCCGCCCAGCGGGGAGCCGGATGTGGGGCTGACCCTGGGATCATGACCCTGAGATCATGACCTGAGCCGAAGGCAGATGCTTAACCATCTGAGCCACCCAGGCGGCCCTTGACATTTCTATTTTTTCATAATAGCTTTATTGAGCTATAATTCACATATTATAAAATCCCTGTTTAAAGCCCCTTTATGGCTCACTGGTTTGTAGTATATTCAGAGTTGTGCAATCATCACAACAATCAATTTTAAAACATTTTCATGGTCCCTCACCAAACCACTGCATCCATCAGCAGTCACTCTCTCTTTTCTTCCTAGTTCCCCCAACCCCATCCTTAGGCAACTATTAATTTACTTTCTTTTGCTATAGATTTTCCTCTTCTGTACATTCCATATAAATGGAATTACATCATGTGTGGTCATTTATGTCTGGCTTCTTTTATTTGACATAATATTTTCTCAAGGTTCCTCCATGTTGTTTCATTCCTTTATATGGCTGAATAATATTCCCTTATATGGATAATACCACATTTTATGTATACATTCCTCCTTTGGGTTCTTTGCATTTTTTGGTTATTACGAATAATGCAGTGATGAACTTTCCTGTGCAAGTTTTTGTGTAGACACATAATAATCATTTGTCTTGGGTGTATACACAGGAGTGAAATCACTGGGTCCTATAATAACTCTATGTTTAACCTTTTGAGTACCTGGTGAACTATTTTCCGAAGTGGCTGCACCTTTTTGCATCCCCTACCAGGAGTGTATGAGGGTGTTTCTCCACATTCTTGGCAACACTTGTCAGTATTTGCCATTTTGGTTCCAGCCATCATAGTGGGTGTGTGGTGGTATCTCATTATGGTTACGATTTGCATTTCCCTAATGATGTTGAGCATCTTGTCATGAGCTTATTAGTCATTTGTGTATCTTCTTTGGAGAAGTGTCTGTTCAGATCCTTTATCCATTTTTAAATTGGGCGACTTTTTTTTTAAATTATTATTGAATATGAAGTGTTCTTTATATATTCTCTGTGTTAGTCCCTTATCAGGTATATGATCTGCAAATATTTTCTCCCATTCTGCGGGTTGTCTTTTCACTTTCTTGATGGTGTCCTTTAAAGCACAAAAGTTTAAATTTTGATGTAGTCCAATGTATCTATTTTTTTCTTTTGTTTCTTGGGCTTTTGTTGTCAGATCTAATAAACCGTTGTTTAATCCAAGGTTACAAAGACTTAGGTCTTTGTGTTTTCCAAGAGTTTTATAGTTTTAGCTCTTATGTTTAGATCTTTGATCCATTTTGAGCTATTTTCTATATATGGTGTGAGGTAGGAGGTTCAAATTCTTTCTTTTGCATGTGGATATCCGGTTGCCTCAGTATCCTTTGTTGATAAGACTATTTCTTCCCCATTGAATTGTCTTGGCACCTTTGTCAAAAGTCAGTTGACTGTAAATTCAAGAGTTTGTTTCTGGAGTCTTAGTCCTATTTCACTGATCAATATATCAGTTCTTGTGTCAGTATCACACCATCTTGGTTATTGTAGTGTTGTAGTAAGTTTTGAAATTAGGAAGTGTGGGTAGTACAAATTTATTCTTTATTTATTCGATTGTTTTGGCTGTTCTGGGTCCCTTGAATGTTCATATGCATCTTAGGATCAGCTTGTCAATTTGCAAAGAAGCCAACTGGAATTTTGATGGGGATTGTGTTGAATCTGTACATTAATTTTTGGAGTATTGGCTCTCTAATAAGATTAAATCTTCTAAACCATTATTAACATGGCTGTCTGCACTTTTTTAGGTCTTCTTTAATTTCTAAAACATGTTGTATTTTTCAGAGTATAAGTTTTTAAATTTTATTTATTTATTTAGAGCGTGCACATGAGAGCGGGGAGAGGGGCAGAGGAAGAGGGAGAGAAAATTTCAAGCAGACTCTGTGCTGAGCACAGAGCCAAATGTGGGGCTTCATCTCATGACCCTGAGACCATGACTTGAGCTGAAATTAACAGTCAGATGCTTAACCAACTGAACCACCTAGGAGCCCCTAGTATAAGATTTTTTTTTAGTTTTATTTATTTACTTATTTTTTAAGATTTTATTTATTTATTTGACAGACAGAGGTCACAAGTAGGTAGAGAGGCAGGCAGAGAGGGAGAGAGAGAGAGGCGGAAGCAGCCTCCCTGCTAAGCAGAGAGCCCGATGTGGGCCTTGATCCCAGGACCCTGGGATCATGACCTGAGCTGAAGGCAAAGGTTTTAACTCACTGAGCCACCCAGGTGCCCCAAGTTTTATTTATTTAAGTAATCTCTACACCCATCGTGGGGCTCGGACTCTTCTCCAACTGAGCCAATCAGGCGCCCCCAGAGTGTAAGTTTTATACTTCTTTTGTTACATTTATTCATAAGTATTTTATCCTTTTTGGTGTTACTGCAAATGAAATTATTTTCCTAATTACATTTTTGAATTGTACATAGGGAGTATATTCAGCTGATTTTTGTATATTGATCTTATATCTTGAAAACTTCCTGAACTTGTTTATTCTAATAGATTTTTAGTAGATTTGAACTTTCTTTTCAAATAGAATCCTACTTTTATTTATTTTTTAGAATCCTACTTTTAAAAAAGTGACTGATTTCTGTAAAGTAAATAATTGTTCTCTACTTTGTCTTTCCTAAATTTTGAATTTTCTTTTTTTTTGAAGTAAAGCAAACTCTTGTTTATATATTACTATCATTGTTTTGAATATCATTTTTCTGATGAATCTGATCTTAAATCATAACAATCTAAGTTAGTGATGCTAAGTTGAATGTAGGGCAGGATGGTATTTTAGAATCACTCAGGGGGCATTTCCAACCACATATACCATCTGAAGATTTTGCCAGCCTACCTTGTTTGGTTTAGAATCATTGTTCTAGTGAGCTGTGTGTTAGAGGGGAAAAAAAGATTGAGAACCACTGGGTCAGGCCTTGTTAGACAAGTATGTTACAACATTCTGTTGTGAAGGTGCAGGGGTCTGTGTACTTATTTGTGCCCCCTTTTATTATTATCATGAATAATAATGGAAACATCTATCCACAACAAGGAAGAAGAGAACTCACACTTCGGTTGCATTCTGTTGAGAAGACTATAGTTCAGTCTTGGTTCTGAGTTCGCTGCTGGAGGCTGCATATCTGGAGCATCAGTGTGGTTGATGGGTTCAGAGGAAGAGTTCAGTATCTATGTATTATCTCTATTTGGATTTTAAGGGAGAGCTTTGTATTGAATTTGATATGTTCTCCTTCTCAGGCCCCAACAGAACATCTGAGCCCAAATGAGATGCCGGAGGACACCAGCACTCCTGAAGAGATGCCACCCCCAGAGCCCCCGGAGCCACCACAGGAGGTGACTGAAGCTGAGAAGTAGCCTATCTATGGAAGAGACTTTTGTTTGTGTTTAATTAGGACTGTGAGAGATTTAAGGGGAGAAGATAAACCTGAGACAGAGAGCAAGTGAGCTGTCCCTTTTACTGTTTTCCTTTGGTCTTTATTCACCCAACTGCACACTGGCATTTTCTTGCTGCAAGCTTTTTTTAATTTCTGGACTCAAGGCAGTCACAGAAGATGTCAGTCACCTCTGGTAACTGGACAAATGGGTCCCTTGGGCCCCGGCACTGGCTTTCCATGGCCTCAGCCACGGAGTCTCCTTGGACTCCCTTGTCTTTCCTCCAGATCCCAGCTCTCCTGCTTGGGATCATTGGTCCAATTCTGGGGTTAAAGGTTCTTGAGACTGGCTCAAATCCTTTCAAGCTGCTGCATGTCATGAGTCCAGAGACAGTCACAGAGAACCCTGACCAGGGAATCCTAATTAGATTCTTGGGGCCTTCAGAATTGAAGAGGCTAGAGAGTGGGCGTGGAGGATTCTCCTGGCTACAAAGTGCCAACATTGCCAGCAAATCCTTTCAGGAACGGGGCAGGTAACTTCCACTTGTATTTATTCATGTAGCTTCTCCTTTGTCTCCTGCCCACTCTCTAACACCCAGGCCCCACTCTTCCAGTTAGATATATGTAAGTAGTTACTGTAGAGATAACAATTCACATTTCTTGTAGACTGTCCGGAAACTTTTTAATACCTGTGCCATTCTTAGTAAGAATTTATGAGATGCCAATGGCATGGCCCCTCGCACTCTTTGTCTCATCTCTCCTCCTTTCTCGTTAGCCCCTTTTATTTTCCTTTTGACTCCTGCTCCCACTAGGAGCAGGAACGGCAGTAATAAAAGTCTGCACTTTGGTGGTTCCTTTTCCTCAAAGGAAGCCTGAGTGCTCACTTAAACACTACCCCCTCAGACTCCCTGTGTGAGGCCTGTAGAGGCCCTGAATGCACAAATGGGGAAACCAAGGCACAGAGAGGCTCTCCTCTCCTCTCCTCTCCCCCTATGTCCCCTCAAAAAAGAAAAAAAAAAGAATAACCAGTACTTCCATTAGGCCTCGGCTGAGTGAGGAGGGAAAGCCCAGCACTGCTGCCCTCCAGGGTAAACCCACTCCAAGGCCTTGGCCCACCTCGGGCTTGGTAACCACACGGGGGCTTCCTCCAAGCCCCACTCTTCCAGCACTTCCACCGGCAGAGTCCCAGAGCCGCTTCATCCTGGGGGTGGGCCATGGCCCCCAGTCAGCTCTGCTCAGGACCTGCTCTATTTCAGGGAAGAAGATTTATGTATTATATGTGGCTATATTTCCTAAAGCACCTGTGTTTTTCTCTTTCTAAGCCAGGGTCCTGTCTGGATGACTTACGGGGAGGGGGGGGGAGTGTAAACCAGAACTTTTAATCTATTTGAAGGTGATTAAACTGTGTCTAATGCAAACTGCCTGCCTCCTCCTTCCCCCTTCCATTTCAAGAACCACCATGAGGTTGTGAATGTCTGTGTGGGGGTGGGGGTGGGGGTTGAAGGGGTTGCTTGTTACTACCCATACTTCCATTTTCTAGGGGGCCCTTGTGTTGGAGAGATAGCTCCCAAACTCTCCATTGATCTATACCACATTCAGGCTGAAGTTTACCTTATTCCGGGCTATGAGAAAAGGGCTTTCAAGGCAATATACAGTGTTAACAAGATTGGGAGGGTCAGAGGGGATTATATTCACTGAAAAATACCTGTTCTTTATTAGGATATTGTTTTTATGCAGAGGGATGCTGTTAATTGCAAATGAGTCTTGGTTATTGAAGCAGGTTCATCAGGGCCTCCTCTTGGAAATACTTTGTTAGTGATCTTTTATAAGTGATGGTATATATTTCTTTTTAAATGGTCTAAAGTCAAGACCCCTTACCAATGCCTATCTCACCCTTCCTAGCTAATTAAAATTAATGAAATTTGGCTGCTTCCAGATTTTTCTGTATGTCTTCCTATTTTCCTTGTCGCAGGGGTTGAGTGTAATAGTCCTTAGGGAGAGTCTGGCTCTGACTGACTCAGATTCCTCTCCTATCTCCCTCCACTTTCCCATTGTTTTTGTGAATCTTTCAGGTTTATCCTTGTAGTTAGATTTTAGTTAGTTCAAAATAAGGCCAAGCCTCAAGAGTTTGGAAGTTGTTAGGTTTTTCCAGTTAACCTGACACTCAGATGATCCCCTTTTTAGTCAGTTCTCAGCCTACCCTGTCTCAGCCCATCTTTTCTTTTGGATTAGGACAGATTCTCTCCTCGCTCAACTTAACCTCAACCACTCTTCTGCTGACCCTGAGGTCTGTCAGAGAAGCTTTCTCTCTGAGATGAAGGGTAAACCTGGAGATCCCTTATCTCTAGTGTGAAATCAGTTTTTTAAAAGTTTCTGCTTTTTTCATACTCCCTGCCCTCTTTATTTCCCTTTATAAATCCTCTGTATTTAAGGCCTTGGCCTAAAGATCTGTCCCATTCATACCACGCACCAGCTGGGACCTAGTCTGAGTGATGGATCACAGAGGGGATTGAAGAATTGGTTCTTCCCGGGGGAATAGGCCTTAAATTGTTCACTCTTTTCAATACCTGACATTCTTTCCACCTCTCCCCTTCCTCTCCATCCCTTAAGTTTCCTATGTACCCCACTTCCCCAGGCCAGGGTGGCTGGCACAGATCCAAAACCCCTAAGGAGTGGTGGGATTTGGCTGTTTGGGACCATTTCTTCATGTCCATTTGGCTCCGGGGGCCTTCTTTGCCCTAGCAGAGAGTGTCATCTCCCCCTTTGCATTTTTTCCCAGTGGCAGATGTGGGTTCTAATTCTGTAGCAGCTAAATTCCATTCTTCCTGCCCTGCCCTTCCTGCCTTTGCCCCTAAGGTCCCTTTTCCTACTGACCAAATCTCTTTACCTTGTTGCGGAAAAAAAAGTATTTTGTTTTTAAATCTATTTTCTAACTTAAATGCAATTTAATATGTAAAACTCTGCACTTTTGTGTGAATCTACAAATGTGTATGTGTGGTAGGTTTTTCACTCTCTGGTATTTCTTAATAAAGAAATCTTTCTTTTTGGGGTGAAGCCAATTAATGAAGGAGACTTGAATGGTTTTAGAAATACAGGGATGTCTGTTTCTTTGTGCTTCTGCCTCACTTCTTTACCTGTGCCTAGTGTGAGTGACCAGCCCTTCTCCCACCTTTTGACCCCCTTCCTTTGAGAGAGCCCTCAGCCTGGTGGGACAGGGAGAGGGACCTGTCCTGTGTCTGGCACTCCTCTGGGACTGCTTAGATTGGCGCAAGTGGTAACCTCACAACCTAGCGTCCTCTATCTCCCCGTGGCCTAGCCCTATTAGTCCTTTCCTTCCAGCTCTGTTCATTTAATACTTCTGAGGATGGGGCCAGGCTAGGGAAAATCACCAAGGGATCACAGTAAATGGTTTCAAAAAACCGATAATTTGCCCTTATGCTTGGTGGTACTAAAGAAGAGCAATGCTTTCAATAAATCTAGAAGCATCTGTATCAGTTTTAAGAATACATTCTAGGGGTGCCTGGGTGGCTCAGTCGGTTGAGCATCTGACTCTTGGTTTTGGCTCAGGTCATGCTCTCAAGTCACGGACTATGCACCCAGCACGAGGTCTGCTTGAGATTCTCTTTCTCCCTCTATCCCCCCTGCCACATGAGCACTCTCTCTCTCTCTCTCAAAGAAATAAATAATTCTTTTTTTAAAAAAAGATTACATTCTAGGAACCACTTGCTATTTTTAGGCAGTAGGTTTTAGAAATAGTATCAAAAGCTTAAACTGTGAATATCATTACTTTTAAAGGATGCAAGCCCAACTCACAAAAAAGAGAGTCATTGTGAATTTCATATTTTGGATAAATATGAAGTGGGAATGGGAACTAGAAATCTGTATCTGTAAATTTTCAAATGTCCTATAGGACATCAATGTAAGTGGGCAAACCTAGCGTAATTAGTTTGGCCTGATTACTTTACAAATCAACACAAAACATGTTTTTACAATTTTATTTATTTTTTAAAGATTTATTTATTTATTTGAGAGAGAGACTGAGTAAGCAGGGGGAGGGGCAGAGGGAGAAGGAGAGAATCTCAAGCAGACTCCCCACGGAGTGAGGGGCTCAATCTCACTGTCCTGAGATCATGACCTGAGCCCAAATCAAGAGTTGGGTGCTTAACAAACTGAGCCACCCAGGTGCCCCTGTTTGTACAATTTCAGTATATACACTGAATTTCCAGGAATGCAACAACTGTATAAATTGAGAGAAGATGGTATTTTACTTGATTCAGAACTTTAGCAAGAGTTGTGACTTTCGAAAATCATGTCACCAACACAGTGCCATTCAGGGATTTTTAAGTTGCCACTGTATTTGTCTTTCTTTGTAGCAATTGCATTCATAGTGGATCTACGTGTGTAAGTGGAAGCCTCTGACTGCTTTATTATATCTTTGAGTATAGTCTTGCCCAGGCATTTGCATATTGAAATATATATTATCTTAAACAAACTTCCTTTTTTTCTCCTTTATATTATAATTAGTGTATTACATTACTATTCTGGAAATTATGTGTATAAGCAGGTTATATTACCTATGAAAGTCGTTTCAGGGTGGCAAAGGGTGCATCACAAAATATTGTATCTACCATGGAGGATTGGGGCTGATAGGGTTGAGAACCACTATAATATATCAAAGGTTCCTTTCTACCTCTAAATATTTGGAAAACTCAAAAACCAAACAAACATCCCCCTCCCCTCACACCCTTAATGTGCTTTTTAAATTTAAAAACAACACATGCTCATTGTTGAAAATTGGGAAAGTATAAGAAAGTAAGATGATTTTAAAAATTACTTATAGAGGGCACCTGGGTGGCTCGGTGGGTTAAAGCCTCTGCCTTCGGCTTGGGTCATGATCCCAGGGTCCTGGGATGGAGCCCCACATTGGGCTTTCTGCTCAGCGGGGAGTCTGCTTCCTCCTCTCTCTCTCTCTGCCTACCTCTCTGCCTACTTGTGATCTCTGTCAAATAAATAAATAAAATAAATAAATAAAAATTACTTATAAACCCATCACCAAGATATAACTGTTAATGTTTTAGTGTATTTCTTTCTAGTCTTTTCTCTGTATATTTAAGTTAAGTAAACTCTACCCCAACATGGGACTTGAACTCAAAACCTGATATCAAGTCTCATGCTCTACTGACTGAGCCAGCCAGGTGTTCCAGTGTGCGTGTATATTTTTAAACATAATTGGAATTCAACTATAGACTTTGTAATCCTGCTTTTTTTTTAAGGTTTTATTTATTCACTTGACAGAGATCACAAGTAGGCAGAGAGGCAGGCAGAGAGAGAGAGGAAGGGAAGCAGGCTCCCCGCTGAGCAGAGAGCCCGATGCAGGGCTTGATCCCAGGACCCTGAGATCATGACCTGAGCCGAAGGCAGAGGCTTAACCCACTGAGCCACCCAGGCGCCCCCTGCTTTTTTTTACTTAACATTTTCCATATCATTAGAAATCATTTGAAAATACTTAATGATTCCATAGCGTATACACATCCCCCTATTGTCAGCCATGTAGGAGTTTCACTTTTCATTATTATAAATCATGTTGTGAATGATGTCTGTGATTATTTCCTTAGGATAGATTCCCAGAAGTGGAATCACTAGAGTCAAATGGAGTACTCTTAAAGCCTCTTGATGAACATGGCCAATTTACAGAAAGCCTGTCACTGTTAGTCCTGCCAGCAGTGTATTGGAGAGCCTGCTTTAACACATCTCATTTAAACATTTGGTAATTTGATAGTTGTAAACTGGTGTCTCAGCGTCACTTCGTTTCTATTTCTTTTGTTAATAATGAAGTCAAACATTTTCTGCACCTCCTCTCTGCCTTATGTTTCTTGCCATTTGTATTCTGTGAGTTGGCTGTCCAAACCCTTTCTTTTTCTTCTGGTGTTGGGGAGGTTTTCTTCTACTCGATTAGTAAATGAGAGCTTGGAGCTCACACTCTACCACAGGCCAGGAAATGAGGGGGCCTTGATTTAGAAATGGTTTTACAATGTTGGAAACATGGTGTAGAATTACCTCCCTGACATTCCATATGCCCCTGCACTTCCTTCAGGCCCCCTTCTCCTTGCCTTTTCTGCCAGCCACTGCCCATCTTGAGCTATCTGGTCGTTCCAGTGTGACTAAAGGGTTGTAGTTTCGTGCCAAATTAGAGGCAGGGTGATTGTCATAAAACCAGGGCTCTGTTAAATGATGTTGCTAAAAGGAACGTGTTCTCATTTACTCTTGCTCTCTCACCAAATTAAGTACTGTGACTTAACTGAGATCACATAGACAATCACTAGTAGAGCTGAGACCAGAACCCAGATGTCTGGACTCCCAGTGCAAAGAGTTCTCTGGCATAACACAGGTGCAGACAGAGAGGTCTAAATAACTCCAAGTGTCTACTGGAGAGCCTGTTCATTTATTTGACATTCAATAAGTACTTGTTGAAAACTGCGTGCTAGGGTTAACTTAAGGAGAAATTGCATTACTGACCCCATTCTCTTGTGAGTTAAGAACAAACAATGATTTTTTTTTTCCATTTTGGATTAACTTTACCAATGATCTCTCCATTTTAGGCATAGAGAGAGCTGACTATATATAGTCAGTCTGATATGGGGTGGTTGTTGGGTTTTGTTTTAAACTTAAATCTCTTAAATATTTCTCCAGATCCCTGCACTTAGGTTGAACCGATGGTGGGGTTTCTTTAGCACAGAAAGTCAGGAAGTTGCCTTGCCTGGTTCCCACAGTCGACTTGGCTGTCCTTTGTGAGGGTCATTGCCCCGGGCTCCTTCTGACGCTATCCCTGGCAGGTCCCAGAGGCAATGGTATACAAATGCTCTATTGGTAACTGTGAAGTTATAGGAAAAGATGAAGCCTACATATCAAGTGCTATAGAATTCCATTTATTTAGGGCCTTCCTGGAGGAGGAGTCTTGGCTGAGTCTAGAAGGGAGGCAGTTCCTTCCCACTTGATTGTGTTGTTGGCTGAATAATATAGAATGTGGCCAGCGTTGTGTGAGAAGCTAGGGAGGCCTCTATTGTGAAGGAGAGGTGGGAGAGCCACTTCTTTTCCCCAGCTGGGAAACCTCATACCTCATCCTGAATTTCCTGACTTAGGTGGGGGGGAAGGTGTTGGACCTCACTGAGACTACAGTGATCAGTGCCCTTTTTTCCTTTTAAAACTCTGTTTAGCTTTTGTTTTCATGCTCTTGGTCTCTACTGGCCCTGCCATGGCCTCCAGTCATGCGAAAGGTCTGGGTATGGGGGTCTCTATGAGTGAAAGAGTTGGAAGCCATGGCTAGGGGGCTGGGCCAGTGATGAGCCACACTGCTGTAGGGTTTGGCAAGTAGGAGAGAGAATTTGTGGAGTTGACAGCCTTCGTTGTGGGGTTTTAGGGGAGCTGATCAGAACCTATCTGGGGAAGTCTAAGGGAAGCTTGTGAGAAACAGGGAGAGCAAGTTCATTCAGGTGGGGTGTGATTTTCCCCCAGCTGCTTCCCTGATGGGCCAGGGAGGAGGAAGTTGCTCCTAACCTTGAACTGGGGAGGAGCTGGCTGGGCTCTAACTCTTTCTTCTTGAAACTGGCCTGTATCCTCTTCATTCTGGTAGCCCATGGATGTCCAAGGAAATTGCCTGAAATAAGTCTCGTGTTCAAGGCTGATCATCCTATTGTGAGCGGGACAGATCCAGGGCTTCCCCCCACTCCTCATATGGGCTTTCTCTCCAACACCAGCCTCTCTGGGCACCAGAACTGACACCCTCTCCCTGAATCCCAACACCATCTGGGAGCTTGGATAGCAGTTTGCCTCTAGAGTGTAGCAGTCAGTCTGCAGACAAGCGCATTTGGACGTGGCCTTTGTGGCCATTCTTGAGCTCAGTACCCTAGAGGTTCCAAGAAAGTCAGAAGGCCACCATTTATTGTTACCTTGGGCCAGAACTTTATATGCTGATCTCATTTGTATCTCTAACAACCCAAAAAGGAAGGTATTATTAGATCATTATTTTTTAAATCTAATTTTAATTTTTAATTAGTTTTTATTGATATATTATTAACATATAACATTGTATACATTTAGGGTGTGCAGTATGTTGGCTTTATATATTTATATACTGCAATATAGATTATTATTCTTATTTTACAGAAAAGAAATGTGTATGTATATGATTACCCCAAGTCATGTAATTAGCAAGTGGTAGAGCCAGGATTCGAAGACACTTTAGTTTAACTCAAAAGCCTTTGCTCTACTACTAGGGGTTCAAGGTGAGATGGGCCTTGAAGGAAGTGAAATAGAGGGAGCAAGGTGATGTGGATTTAGGGGATCAGACACATTATTATTCATTAGGCATTGATTTTTTACAGGACACTCTGCTGAGTATTTTACATACACTAGTTCATTCAGTCTTCATAACAACTTCATGGGGCTAGTACTATTTTTCTCACCTTACTGATTTGGAAAGTGAGGCCCAAGGAGGTTAAGTGACTTGTCCAGGATCACTCAGCTAAGGGACAAAGGCAAGACTTGAACTCAGGTGGGCCCTGACTCTTAACTGCTAGGCTTTGCCTGTCCTAGAGGATCTTCCATCTGCTGTCCCCAGGCCCTGGATGGGCCCAAGGTCAGAGGAAGAGCCCCATTGTGCTTTTGGACTAGTCCACTTCCACCCTTCCAAGGGGAGTTAGAGGCTACAGCTGCCTGGGCATCTGACATACTAGGCTGGGGGTGGGGGTAGAGGGTCTGCAGCTGGGATGACTCAACCTCTTGGACTGCAGCCCTTGGTTTGCTGGACTTAGGGGACCTCTTGGCATCTTCTAGATGCCCATGGGCTAGAGAAGAGGTTCCGGAAGAGGTGTCTGGAGGAGGAGCTTCAGGCCAAAGGCTGTAGCCTCAGCTGGCACTGCCTTTCTCCTCCCTCAGGCCCTGGCCTGTAGACTACATTTCCCCATTGCCCCTCCTTACCTGCCCTTCCCAAAGTCCTGTGGTCACTGGAGTCTTTGCACAACTGTCTACTTCTAGCCTGTATCCAACCTGTAGACCCATCTGGGGCCTGATAGTTCTGAGATGCTCCCACTTTCCTCCCTAGGCTGGGAGGGGAGTTCACATCATTTTCTCAGTCTGATTTTGCTGATATTTTCCTTTCCCCAGCTTACACCTAATAGATAGATATTACCCAGGGAGTTTGAAAGGGTTAGGAATCTCCTCTGATAAGGTCCCCTTGCTGGTGTGTGAATTTTAAGTATTTTGGGCATTATTCAATCCCCACTCCCCACCTTCCCAGAAGCCTGGGCCAAAAGACAGCAGGATAATGACTTTGCTGCTGCCCCAAATTGGAGGCCAGAGGTTTAGGCCTATTTATTTGGTTCTATTTTTTTCAAAAGTTAAAATGTTGTTCCTTTTTAAGTAGATATAGAATAATAGATACTTTTGAGATTCAAATAAAAGAAGAATATAGAAAGCGAGCACTTCTCTCTCTTACTCCCCCAGTCCCATCTCACTTGTCTCAGCGGTAACTGTTTGGTGTGGATCTTTCCAGTTTTTATTCTTTTTACGTTTTCCTTTTATTAAATAAAAATGGAATCACCCTAAAAATAATGTTTTAGTATTCCCCTTTTCCCCCATGATAAAGCACAGACTTCTTTTACAACAAGAATGTTTGTACATTATTTGTATAATTTAAACATTTTTAATTAAACAATAAAAAATCATGAAGGTTTTCCCGGTGTCACTAAATATTTTTCTGCATTAATGGCTACATAGTATTGTGTGAACGAACTATATCAAACTGATTCCCCATTTGTGTTGTTTCCAATTTCTTACTTTTACAGACAAAGCTGTTGTATGTTTGTCCATATATCTGTGTGCACTTGTGTGGCTCTTTCTGAGGATCAGATCCTTGGGGGCCGGGGGCATGGCTGGGTCCGTAACCCCGTTACAGAGGGTCAGCTTGCCCTCCGGAGGGCCAAGGACCTCTGAAAGCTCGTGGGACTCCCTGCTCAACTTCTTCATCCTGTCTGAGCTACAGTTTCGTCCTCTGTAAAATGAGAAGATGACGGTATGTACCTCAGCGGGGTACTGTGATTATTATCTGAGGGAATCAAGGCAAAGTGCTTGATTTCAGGCACCAGTGTGGGTGCCCGCTAAGTGACAGTAGTCAGCACTGTTGGAGCTTTGAGGCTGGGCTTCTCCTTGTTTCTTTGGGGAGGGTAATGCTTGCCGTCTCCTGCTGCCCACGGCCACTAAGGAAAGTGGGGTGGGTGCAGCTGAGAACAAAGCCTGGAAGCAGAGTGGCCTTGTCTTTGCTCTGGGGCCAGCTCTCAGTCCAGTTTGCCCTCCCTGATGCAGTTAGCGCTGGCAGAAACAAAGGAAGCCAGGGGTCGTTGTCTTTGTCCCACCTCCTGGGAAATGGTGTAGCTTCAGTGGGCACAAGGTGGCACCCAAGAGGTGGTGGCCTCAGAGGGAAGGCCCAGCCGAATCCAAATCTCTCCCTTTTGGACCATGGACAGCCCCTAGTGCTGGCCCTTCCTCTCTGGGGAAGCCCTCAAGGCTCCTGTTAATCATTCTAGGAAGAGGCCACTCTCCAATCCCAGCAAGGCCTATGGCCCTGGGTGCCTGTACTCAGGGGACAGCTCGTTAGTGGGAAGAGCAGAGACCGTTAGCGCTTCAAACTGGGGCTTTAGTCAGCGGGATAAATGGCAGTGGGCATCTTCAGGAAAGGGACAGATGGCCCTGAAAGGACAATGGAGGTCATTGTGCCAAGTACAGCTCTAAAGGATACTGGGCTGACCCTCCCCCAACCCTCTCCCCACAGGAAAGATAACTGGAGACTGTAATTAGTTCTACCTATGTTTATTGCTGCCAACTCATCCCCGCATCCCCTCATATTTACACCCAAACCCTTCCCCCAAGCTAGCTTTTACCAAAGTTCCTCGTAGTAAGTCCAGAAGTGTGTTCACTAAGCAGGCAGTCCTAGATGTAGTGGGCACTGTCCCCAGGCCAGCTGGGCCCGGGGGAAGGGTTACTCTGCGAATTCATGGCAGACTTGGTACTGAGGTCAAGGGAGGCCCCACCAACAGATGTACTTCCTCCCCTTCTGGAGCTCAGGGTACATTAAAACCTTTTGCAAAACAAAGCTGGGGTAGCAGACTCCCCAGGGTCAAGCTTTGTGCTTTCTTTGCTTGTAAGAACCCACACAGGCAGCCAAGTCTGAGTCCAGACTTGCATGTGACTTCCAAAGGGCAGTTCTGTCCTTGGAGGCCAGATCTGACCATCGGCCATCAGGCTTCAGGGAAGTGTCATTGGATGGGGCCAGGAGTGGAAGGGGAGAGTGCATGTTGCACGAGGTCTGGGCATTGTTTTAAGCTGGGGGAAGCTGCAGCTTGTCTTGAGTTATGTGGGGAGGCATGGAATGAATGAGTGGGAGGAGCCATTTCATTTGGAAGCCCAAGGCCCCTTCAGCTCCCTCAGTAAACCCCACTGGTGTCCTGGGCCACAGGTAACAAGAGAACAGACATTTAATGTCTCAGAATGTCAGAGCTGGCAAGGCCCCCAGCAAAATCCATTCTAATCCCCACCAGTTAGTGGCCAAACCTCCAAAAAAAAAAAGTTAAGGGGAAGGAATGTGGGAAAGGAACATGCGGCTTTCTTGAAGCCTTGTTTGGGGAAATCTATCCACCCTTTGGGGGAAATCTATCCACCCGTGATCAGTTCGGGTCTTTTTAAAGGGCCAGCTTCCCTAGGGTTTTGAAACTGACTTGAAACACTGACTTGGCCCCCTTTCCAGGAGCAATGTGACAGGGGAAAGTGGTGTGGGAGTGAGCAGGGTTTGGGGGCCTCGGTGGTGAGGGATGTGGGTAGGGCAGCTCCTCCATGTCCCACTTGCTGTGGCTGGGAGCAAGCAGTGCCCAGAAGTTCTGTGCTGTCAGTAGGTGGTGGAGGGAGCAGGCTGGGCAGGTGGGATGTGCCCTTGGGTGCCTCCTCATCCTCTCCAGACCAGCCTACGGGGGCTCTGGCTAGCTCCTGCGGCCCTGGGCTCTCCTAGGGGAGCAGGGCCAGGCTCAGCACCAGTCCTTCAGGATCTGGGCCACCGTGGGAGGCCGGGTCCCTCCCTGCAATATTTGCTGCTGGGGCCCAGCCTCGGCCTGTGCTGCCACCTCTGCCTCAAGGCGCCCCGGCCAGGGAGAGGCCGTGCAGCTGCTCCTCAGCGCCTGCCAACTCTGCCTCATCACGTCCGCTCTCCGAGCCCTCGAAGCAGCCAGAGTCTCGAGGAATGTCCACCTTGGGTTCAGACACTGTGTTGGCCACTGGCTCCTGGCTGCTTTCGGCGCCCTCTTCCGCCTCCTCGCTGCCGGCTGCCGGGGCAAAGAAAGAGATGGAATATGGGCGGGGGGGGGGGCTTGGGCCTTAGCTGGGAGGGGTTCAGAAGCCCCAGGAAGCCCCTGTGTAGGGGGGTGGGGACTCTGGGAAGTCCACTGTAGGCCGTCTCTCCCTCTGGGCACCCCCCCACCAACCCTGCCCCTCTCACCCTTTCCAGCTTAGAACCAGGTAGGGGTGGTTTCCAAGCCAGTGACCCTGCCCAGGAGCTCAAACTACTTTAGCACCCAGCTAGGAGCTGGAAAGCTGCGCTTGTTTCCTGGCTCTGCTATTGCCCAGTGTGGAGGTCTTGAGTACATGCCTTTCCTTCGCTGGCCTTAAGTCTCCCCTTTAACCCCAAAGGGAGCTGGACCTGATCATCTCTAAGGCCCCTCTGTCGGCAGACTTTGCCCGAGACTGGAATTCAAACGTGGAAAGGGCCTGACCCCCGCAGAGGAGTGCCCGGGCTGAGTATGGTCAGGGGGCAGGCCGAGGCAGGCACCCCCGCCCCCACCACCCGGCTCCTAGACCCGCTCACTGTCGTAGTCCAGCAGCAGCTCGGCGGCCGTGAGCAGCTTGGCCCGGTGCTGCGGGTCCATGATGTTCAGCTCGTTGAGGTGTGTTTCCCGCAGCTCTTTGAAGTCCTCCAGCGTCTGGTAGCCATTGAGCAGCAGGGTGGACGTGTGCTCCTGCAGGCAGAGGTGGACCACCAGTGCGGCCACTTAGGAGCCACCTCGCTTGGGACCCCTCCCCTCCCACACAGCTGACCGTGCACTAGCCTCCAACCCTCTCCGGGTCCCAGACCCCACCGCAGATCCCAGCTCAAACCTCCAGGCCTATGCGCTCCAGCAGCTCATGCAGAGTCTTGGGCTTGGGCCTCTTGCCCTTGCTTTGTCGGCGACTGGGGCGGGCGGGCCCCACAGCCTCCTCAGGCAGCACATCCACATAGATGAACTTGAAAGACCCCAGCCTGCCATTGAGCAGGCCCAGCCATGTGCCCACAGGTGGCTTTTCAATGATCTGGATCACATCTCCTTTCTGTGGGAGGACAGGAGAGCAGAGTGGAGCAGGGGTGAGGAGAAGGGTATTCCCTTGGGCTCCGTGGACACTGCCCTATCCGGGCTCAATACAGCCTCCTTTATGGGCACAGCCTGCCAGGCTCAGGAGAGGCCTGGATGCCAGCCTTACCTGCAGTTTCAGCGAGTCATGGTCGTAGGGGCTGGGAGTGAAGTCGGTGTGGACTCGTGCCCTGCCACAGAAGGGCCCTGTGTACTGGGGGGCGGGTGCTTCCTCTCCGAAGCTGCCAGAGCCTGGGCTGGGGCTGCAGAGCTCACTTCCTGCAGGAGACGGGGCAGGGAGGAGGGTCACCTTTGTCCCAAGACAGCTGGGGCGGTGCCCAGCAGGTTCCTGCCAGGGTTTGTGGCTAGAAATCCCAAGGCCACCCTGCAGGAGCACAACCTCAACTTTGGGGCCTCAGATATGAAAACAGTTAACCACAGAAGGAAAACTATCTCACCGACTAATGAATAAGCAAATTGGGAGGGCCTCTAGAGACCCGCTGGGCCCAATGAACAGATAAGGAACACTGAAACAAGACAGGCCAACTGAGCGCTGAAGACCTCTCACTTTATAATTGGTAGCACTGGGTCCATTCAACTCTGGGTCTCCTGACACCCAGTCCTGTGATTCTGGAAGATGCCTTCCACCTGGGAAACCACACCCTAAACTAGTATTTTACTTTCTGTACATAATAAGACTCAGCATCTAGTTACAACATCACATGGAAACTCAGAAGGGCTCTTTCTCTCTGGGAAGGGCTGGATGAAGAACATTATAAGATGCCAGGTGGCACCCTGAGCCCAGCAAACCAAGGGCTGTAGTCTAAGAGGCTGAGACTTCCCAGCTGGAGACTCTCTGCCCCCACCCCCAGCCTGGGATGTCAGAGGCCCAGGCGGCTGTAGCCTCTAACTCCCCTTGGAAGAGGACCTAGTCCGAGAGCACAATGGGGCTCATCGTCTCCCTTGGGCCCCTCCACGGCCTGGTGACAGCAAGTGGCAGCTCCTCCAGGGTAGACCTGAGTTTAAGACTGGGTCATATTGGGCAAGTGAAAACCTTTCTGAGCCTCCGTTTTCACATCAATACAGTGGGGATAATAGTGCCAGCACCATGAAGTTATTGTGAAAATGTATCGTGAAGAGGGCTGGGAGGGGCGCCTGGGTGGCTCAGTGGGTTAAAGCCTCTGCCTTTGGCTCAGGTCATGATCCCAGGGTCCTGGGATGGAGCCCCGCATCGGGCTCTCTGCTCGGCAGGGCGCCTGCTTCCTCCTCTCTCTCTGCCTCCCTCTCTGCCTACTTGTGATCTCTGTCTGTCAAGTGAATAAATAATAAAAAATCTTAAAAAAAAAAGGGCTGGGAAAGTTCCCAGAAGGCAAACTGTAAAGGTTCCTTTCTCTTAGCTCCCTCCTAGACAGCCCCCTGCCTCGCCTTTACCCAGTACTTTTCTCCAGACTCAGCAGATGTCCCCTTCTGTCCCCTACTCACCTGTGGATGCCTGGCGGCTAAGTGCTGGGAGTTCACGCTCTTCCTGCTCAGAAAAGGCCAGTGCCATCTTCTCAGGGCTAGGGCTGTCCAGGCTGCAGTCTGGAGATGTCGGGGAGTTTGAACCCTCCTCCAGAGTGTCTCCCTGCAGGGGATGGGAGGTAGGGAGCCCTGAGCAGCCTTAGCTGGGATGCCCATGGGGCAGCGCCGAGAGCAGAGGAAGTGGGCCTGGACTCTCTGGAGGACTGGGGCCTGGCTCGAGCCCTAGCTCTGCCACTCCTAGGCTGCCCCACAATCTGAGCCCAAGTCCCTGCTTCTGTGAAGTGGGAATGACTGTCCTCAGCCCGCTGATCTCACGCAGTGGGGCTCGAACAGGGTGCTACTTGAATGTGCTCTGTCAGCGTAAAGCACTGATGTCCACACACAAAGGGCTACCGTGCCAGAGCCTGCACTCAGAGCTGCTGCTAGGGCAGAGTCCAGCTCGCAGGGGCGCTGGTGACGAACTACCTTCTGCTGTGTTCCTCCGTGCCAGGCACGCCTGTCAGTTCACTGCACCCTCACAGCGACACTTGAAGGTAAGCGCTATGCTCATCCCAAGTTTATAGAGGAGAAGTCATGGAGGAACATTCCCAAGGCCACACAGGAACCCCAAACCAAGCTGGCCGGACTCCAGAGCTCCTCCGCCTCACCACGCACTTCAGGGCGGTGGCGACCCTTTCACAACCTGCTCTCTAGGAATTGAGCCCTGAATCCTAGCAGCTGCCAATTCCTGTGTTGTAAATACTCGCCACCGTGGAGTGAGTCGCTGGCAGAGCAGCGCACCGCGGGGGCTCACGGCCCCACACAGAGACTACAGATGCAAATAACCTCAAGGGCACAGAGAACACTGAAAGGTGGCATAAGAATCGGGACATTATGGGTTTTGAAGATTGCCCATAGTCTCTTTATTGTCAATAGAATTTATTTAATTCTAAGTTTATAGAATGTATTTTCAGTAATGGTTGAGTTTCACACCTGGCTCACAAAGTTCCTGAAAATTTGACCAATTACTGTCCTCAGCTGGTAGGAGCCAGTACAAGCTGACTCAGTCACACCACCGCCTGGGCAACCTTCCGTAAGAGCCATGAGCACAGCCAACTCACTGTGTGACGTCAGCTACTTGCACGCCTGCCCCACAGCTCTCTCTACCACCCTCTCTCCCTGGGCCCAAGCCAGCCTTCTCTATTTTCTCTCGTAGGGGCCCCTCTTCCAATCCAGTCTTCCCAATCCCAGAGGCTAGTTCCAAGCGAAACTTTGAGGTGGACGAATTTGCTTCCAGCAATTGCAGCTCCCTTTCAAGCACCACTCAGGCCTGCCTTCCTCGGAGGCTTCTGTTACCCAGACTTTCATCCCTCCTGAGACCCCACCCCTGCTCCCTTAGGACCATGTCTTGTTGCCAGGTCCATGGCGGAGTGAGCTCTCCTCCCACATGAACTTCATTCTCATTGATTCAGGCCCTCGGGCCCAGTACCCGAGCTGCGGCTGTCAAGGCCATGCTCACACCGGGCCAGAGCACTGAGTGTCCTCCCTGCTCCCCGCCGCCCCTCCCCTAGACCGCAGGCCTCACCATCTCTTCTGACAGCGCCTTCACCATCATCTTGCCCATCTTCCTGTTCATGGTTCGGGAAATCACGGCCCTCCACTTTTTCCCCAGCTTTTTGCCGCTCTTCCCAGCATCTTCTGTGGTAGGGACACCTGACTCATCTTCTGGAATCTGTGACAACAAAGGAGGAGGTCCAGGATTTAGGGGTAGAAGGAGGCCTTCAGGTCCTGGCAGAGGATGGGGGAGGGTGTGGGAATGAGAGGCCTTCATCTCCTTCCCTCTTAGCCCCAGTCCCGTATTCAGCCCTATTAATTTGGGATTAATTTGACAATTAGAGTTGACCCTTGAATATGTGCAGGTTAGGGGTGCCAACTATCCCCACCCCGTGCAGATGAAAATCCATGTATAACATTTGACTCTCCCAAAACCTGATTATTAAAAGCCTACTGTTGACCAGAAGGCTTACTGATAACAGTGGATTAATACATATTTTGTATGTATTTGTATTATATTCTATATTCTTACTACAAAGTAAGCTAGAGAAAAGAAAACATTATTAAGAAAATGATAAGGAGGAGAAAATACATTTACAGTCCTGTACTGTATTTATTGAAAAAAAATCTGCGTGTAAGTGGACCCATGCTGTTCAAACCTGTGTTGTTCAAGGGTCAACTGTAATTTGTAATTGAAAACGATGTGGGTGATTTCCCGGGGCCCAGAGTTTTGGCGGGTGGGAGGGCTGGCCTTCTGTATGTAAGCAGGCTTTCCTCAGCAATGCCCAGATCTCCTCTTCTCCCACCCAGGGCCGCAGCCAGATCCCCCTGGGAGGCTCTGCAACTTACATTCTCATCCAGATTAAATTCCTTCTCGCTCACCACGGGAGAGCCCGGTTTGGATTTGGCAAAATCCTTGAAGCTGCTGGAGCGCTGAAGGGAGAGCTGGAAAAAGCAGAGGTGTGGCCCTCAGTGGCTGGAGAAGGGCTGGCGGAGCCAGGAGCGGGAGCCCTCCTGAGCAGCCCCCGGGGCTAGGCAGCGCCAGGGGTGCCCTGCGGCGCCCTGCCGAGCCAGGGCTAAGGAGCTGAAGCGTTAAGGTGTACTCAGAGCACCCTGGCTTCCTGCTCTTCTTTAGCTGAGAGTAGCCCCTACTGCGGGCCCCCAGAGCAAGCTCTGGACCTCGGGAGCCTCCAACGTCAGCCAGGCCTCACGCAAAGCCCACACGTCCGCCAGCACCCGCACTTTGGTCCCCAGAATTCTGGAGGCAAAGACCAGATGAGTCTGAGCAAAAGCGTTTCTCCTGCTAGAGACGCACCTCAGCATGTCGACAGCGTCACCTTTACGTCACAGAGCAAACCTTCCCCAACCCCGCAGCCGCCTCTTTGCTCTGGCCCTGAGGCAAGTCTGGTGTCCCTGTCATGGCAATGGTGGCAAACACACTGAGGCCTCCCAGCCCAGTGAATCTGTGTCCCCAGAAGAGCAAGGCAATCCCCCCAGAGTCAGTAAGACCTGGCATTCTGCTTTCTGGAAACCCTCGGTAGAGGCTTCTTAAGGGAAGGTGCCAACAGATTTCGGACATGAATGATTGGAGCTCATTTAGGAAAAGAACACTGCTGTTTTTCCTTCCTTCATCTCGGCCTTTAAACTTAGGTACTAACGCGACGATGACTGCTGATGACTTTTAAACCAGGCCGATTATTTGCACTGATGAGACTATTTTCAGGAAATGAGCTTTCTCAACTATATATGTATGCTCAAGGCAAGATAGCAGCCAGAAGTCAGCGCCCGGCAGGTAAGGAGTCGGGCTTTACACACAAGAAGTAAGGCCGAGCCCTGAATCAAGATCAATAGTCAAGACCAGAGATATACACAGGAACCAGGGTTCACAGATGGCCAAGAAGATAGAGCGGGACAGACTGCAGACACCAGAGATAAGGGCTTGAGGAACTGAAGCCCCAAACCCACACAAAGCTGAAAGTTTCACATCCTCTTTCTTATGAAAGGGGGGGTCCACTGACAATAACACCTGCCCCCCAACACACACACAATTGGCCCCAGCTCCTGGGGACTCCAGTGGGGACTCCTGGGGAGTTTGGTTCTCCTAGAAGGTCTTGACCAAGGCACGTCAGCCATCAGGGTCAGGGGTCACGCCTTCCTAGAGGTTGCAGCAAGCTAGTGCACCAGAAACTAGGTCAGCGGGCAGGCCATCAGACGCTACCGCCACGAGGGCTGCCTGGATGCGGCACCCATGGCCTCCATCAGAAAGCCTCCTCTGGGGGCGCCTGGGTGGCTCAGTGGGTTAAAGCCTCTGCCTTCAGCTCAGGTCGTGATCCCAGGGTCCTGGGATCGAGCCCCGCAACGGGCTCCCTGCTTGGCGAGGGGCCTGTTTCCCCCTCTCTTTCTCTCTGCCTGCCCCTCTGCCTACTTGTGATCTCTGTCAAATAAATAAATAAAATCTTAAAAAAAAAAAGAAAGGCTTTTCTGTGCTACACTGGGGAGTTGGGAAAGGGGCGGCCACAAGTGGGCATAGGCAGGGGACGGCATGACCATGAGGTGACCACTCGGGTTCCCATGCATCTCCTCCTTCCTCCTTCCTTGGTTTCCCCCACCCACTATTCTTTCCTCTTTTTCCCCCTTTCTTTCCCCCTCTCTCCTCCACCTTTTGTTTATTTCCTCCTCTTGAATGGCTAGGATGCAGCTGCCTGGATAACTTCCTCCTCTTATTGCCTGGAAAAGAGGGAACAGAGAGAGAGGGTGGGCACCAGGCTGGCCTGGGCCCAAGCAGGGCAGGCTGGGCTGCTATTTATAAATCGATGGGACCTGTTGCGGCCTTCCCTTCACTGGCCCTCAGCATGGTCTGCAGACCGGGAGGCTGAGAGTCGCCCCAGAAGCCCCAGGGACTGCGAGCCTGGAAAGCATGCCAGAGGGCAGGCCCGGCGACGGAAGTGGGCTTTGTTGGGGAGAGTAAACTCACCACCGGGCCCCAGTTCTTTCCTTTTCCTGTCATTAATCTGCAGTCTGGGGGCTGGGAGGGGGGCCTTTGGCCCCCGGAGACCTTATGTCAGGGCACCTCTGTCCCAGGTTTAGCTCAAAGCAGGAGGAAACAATCCAAAAGTGCCATGGGGGTGGCGCTGGGACTTGGGCCCTGCTGGCCACTCCTCAGCCCAGGGACATGGAAAGGACTAGACATGTGCTCCAGGTGACTAAGGGTGAGGTCCTGTCAGAATGGCCTTTTGCTCAGCCTACCTCCAACTTCAGGGCCAACCCCACATATCCTGAAAGCCTCTGGTGACCCTGAAATGGTCCCCCTCCCGAGTATAGGTAAAATTCTTGAGTGCCCTTGGATTTTTCCACCTGGTTTCCCTCTGGGGCGAGACCTTCCTGGGGGTCCTGTGCCAGGCAGGAGGTAGTACCCTACACTGGTGGCCCCTTTTCCATGTCGGAGGGGAGTATTGTGGGTCTCTTGGAAAGAGCTACTTTTCTGGCATCAGACGTTGGTGAGTTCAACTCTGAGATGTTATTTTATTAATGAATTATTTAACCTCTCCGACCCTCACTGGCTCTGAGCTGGCAGGTCGTCACATCTTGGTTCTGCCGTTGACCAGCTGTGTAAAGCAAGGGGAGTTCTTCCACTTCTCTGGGCTTCCGTGTCCTTGTGAGTAAAATGAAGACAAGGGCGCCTGCCTGGTTGGTTGCTGTGAGGGTAGAAGGTGCGACTGCTAACACAGCAAGCCCTCAGCAAATGTCCACGTGTGCTTAGCCTTTCCTCTGACCCCCTCCACACTCTCACCCAGGGCGTGCCCCACCTGGAACCCTCCATCCTTCTCCGTCAGCCGGTTTCTCCCTTCCTTCAAAATCCAGTGGGACTGGAAACAGCCCACATGCCCACCAACTGTAGAATTGTAGCAGTCATCAAAGGGAATGGTACATAGCGACGAGCTAGGTACAGCTCTCCCTAACAATATGGATACACTGTAGAGCAGAAGGGGCCAGCCACCAGAGCACTTTATGTGGTTCCTTGTATAGAAAGTTCAAAACCCGGCAAAACTAAGCTATGCCATTGGAAGTCAGGATAGTGGTTACCCTTAGGGAAAAGGAGCATGTAGTGACTGGCAGGGGCATGAGAGAAGCTTCTGGAGTGCTGGAAGCGCTTTTTGTTTGTTTGTTTTTTTAAGTAAGCTCTATGCCCAAGTGGGGCTTGCACTCTCCACCCCAAGATCAGGAGTTGCATTCTCTACCGACGGAACCAGCCAGCTGCCCTGAAAGTGCTTTGTTTCTTCATCTGGGTGCTACCTATGAGGGAATGTTCGCCTTATGGAAGTTCATTGAGTCCAACACTTGTAATTTATACACTTCTTTGGACAGATATTATACATCCGGATAAAGGTCTTCCAAATCCAGTTTCAAAGGTGCTGCCCTCTGTAGGAAGACTCCTCTGATCTCCCCCTCAGAACTTCACACTGCTCCCCATTAGCATCTTCTACCCTTGCTTCCTAAGCGAGCTTGGCTTTCGCCAGGTGTCTCGGCAACTAGCCCGTCAGCCCTTCAGCGTACCAGTCACATACCCGGCACCCTCTGGGCTCCAGGCTCTGGCCTGTGCATGTGTGGGAATCCAGTAAGAAAGGGGCTAAACACCTCCCACGTGCCCTGCACCCTGTCCAGCCCTTCGTGTGTGCCGGCTCACTGCAGGCTCACCACAGCCCCATCTTAACATCCCTACTGCCCTGCCAAGGAGACGGAGACTCAGAAATGAAGCGTCCAAGGCAGAGTTACACAGCGGACAGCAGCAAGAACAGGTGTTTGAACCCTGGTCCGTGACTCTGGAAGCTGTGTGTGTTGCTGTGGTCAGAGCCCAGTAGGTTACCTCCCGGTATAGAAATGCATTGAGTGTAATGGAAACTGTCGGTGGTGTTTGGAGGGAGCTTCCAGGACAGATGGAGGAGGAAGGGTTCAGGAGGGCTTCAAGGAGGAGGAGGCATATTTAAGCTGGGCCATGCAAGGGAGCCAGGATTTCTCCAGGAGGAGCTGGGAAGGGTTTAAAGAAGAATGACAGTTAGAAACATTCTGAGCATAGTTGACGTGGTGGGAGGTGGAGCAGAAAAGGCCATGGAAGGCCCCAGCAAGCTATGCCAAGGAACTGGGGCATTAGCCTGAAGTCAACGAGGAATCACTGGAAATGCAACGTGTATGCTGGTGGGGGTGTCACGTAGAGGTGTGCTTTCCTACTCATGGGTAGAGTCTCTTATGCTCTTCAGATTCTTCTAGTGCTTCTGGGATCAGTAGGGGGATAAGAGAATAAAGGGAGAAGGGATTAAGACTCTGGAGACTGACGAGTTTTGGCTTAGATCCCTGCTCTGCAGCTTACTAGTTGTGTGAACTTGGGTAAGTCACTTTACCTCTCTGAAACTTGGGCATAAAATCGAGACAGAGGCAACATCTGCCCCTGCTTCACAAGGTTCTCACGAAAAGCCAATGAGCTAAGATACAGGCAGAGTGCATGTAGGCTCTGAGTGCTTTTAAGTCTTGTTTCCTCCACTTCAGGGCTGGGATGGGGGCTTGGTCTTCTCTGCAGTGCGCTCCCCGCGCCCCGGCCACGCCGGCAGCATGCACCCTGTCGTGTGCACACGCGTGTCCATGAGAGAGCGCTCTCTCGTTTATTGTCCCAGGCCCTCTATACAGCCTCCTGAGATGTGCAGATCAAGAGCTCACCTCCTTTTTCCAAGGTGAAGGAACCGTGGCCCAAAGAAGGTCAACAAACTGTCCAAGGTCCTACAGCTAGGACCTGTAGGAATTCAACTCCACTTTCTGGCCCCCTGCCTAGCACATTCCCTTCTGGCAGGCCTGAGAGGAGGAGCAGGGACAGGAGAGAGAGGCCTCACTTGCCTTTGTGCTTTCCCCTCCACTGTGTCACCTCAGTCACTAAGAAGAAGGGACTTGCCCAAGGTCACAGTGCTGGAGCTGGGCTGCTGTCTCTGAGCACGGGGAAGATGCTTTCTCTACCTTCTGGAAACTTGGCTTCTCCAAGGCCATTTCCATGGTATTGAGGCTTGGAGAGTGGCTCTTGAGGCTGGCCCAGGCTCAGACAGGGATGAGGCAGGGTTTGCTTTGATGATTTTCCCTAGAGGGATATATATACCTCAGAGTGCCACATGGGCCTTGCTTCTTCTGGGAGAAGCCAGAGGCTTAGCCACCAAATACAGAACCCGGATAATGGAAGCCAGAGAAGAAGACAGGGACTTCCGGCTTCTGTGTGTCCCTGGGCACCTCTGTCTGAGATGGCACAGGGTCCCAGTGTCAAAGTGTCAGCTCTTTCTCAGGCTGTTTCCCCCAGCTCAGCTCCCCTGTGGTTTGGGGCCCAGCATTGTCTACAGCGGTCTCTGCTTCCCACCCCCGTCAGCCAGAGAGCAAGGGGAAGTGGGACCTGCTCACCCAGGAGCGGCAGCCAATGGTAAATCTGCTGGGCCTAGCACCAAGCAGGGCTCAGATGGGGGTGACGGAGCCTGTGTGAAGACTTGTGAATCTCTACCACCCCCTCTGCCTACCTCCACTGCAACTTAGAGAAGCATCTGGGGTGGGGAGAGTACAGCCGGAAGTGGCAGCAACCCCAGGACCTGAGATGGGGCAGGATATACACCCCAGTGCCCAGGAGCACAGTCCTTCATCTGGCTTGGCCTCCACTTGTGAGATGCTCCCCTGACAAGGGGGCTCCCCCATTGGGCACCTGGGCTGAGCTCCTGGGAAAAACAGCTGGACACAATCGGGGCCTGGAGGCCTTCCGAGTGGGGTCTGGGGCTAGGCCTAGATCTCTTGGACCTGGTTCAGGCCTGCTTGGGGATGGTCCTAGGATCCCACAGGATGTGTGGAATATACCTGCTGGTTGCTTGGGAGAGTCCTATAACCAATAAGTCTAGCAATCCTCAAATCCAACAAGAAAAATCTAGATCTGGCAGTCTTCAAGGAACCTTCTGGTCTGGCCTCTGCTCCAAGAAGAGGAATATTTCAACTGTCCACAACAGCTGCTTTTCCTCTTGGCCTTTAGAATCCCTCCACTGAATTTTTCCTCCTCAGCCCCTACCTCCCATCTCACCAGCTTCATTTTTCATTCTTCACAATAACTTCTTCCCGCCTAGGAAGAACCTGTCGAACCCCTGTATCCCACTGCAGGTTTGGAGAGCCTTTTCCTGAGTCTAGAAATCACCTTGGGCCCCCTCTCCAGGTTGGCATCCTCTCCTGTGGGCCTGGGGAGCTGCAACCCAGCCGAAACAAGTGGGCAGAGTCTGGCTATGGCCAGAGGGCAGGGGCCCCAGGAGCATCATGGCGCCTCTCAGGGTGGCCCAGCAGGGCCCTTTGAGTGAGATGGCTCCTGAGAGGCCGGGCTTGGGCAGAAGCAGCGGCAAGACCAGCATAGGGGAGAGAGAATTGAGTACAGTCTAAGGATGTAACTCGAGAAGTACATTTTGTGAAATCTAGTCTAGACTTCTGGCCCCTGATTTTAGATCTCTATTTTTAGATCTCTATCCCTTCATTGTAGGGTTGAATTCTGTAACTTTAGACTTCTAAGGGTCTGTAACCCTGATTCTCTAGATTTTGAAAGTCTCTTCTGCACTTGTGTTACTCTAGTAACCTTTGGGCCCCTGTACCGTTGTCCTTGGAAGAATGACCCTTGCTGACAGACACAACGTCTGGCCTTTGGCGCTTCCCACTTCTAGGAGTCCCAGAGGGCTGAGAGAACAGAGGGAAGGAAGAAGCAAGCTCCCGGAGATGCTCCTCACCTTTCTCTTCTGAGTGGGCTCCTTATCGCTGGCATTGGAGGGTTTGCGGCGCAACATGGTCCTCTACCTTGGTGACACTCCGTCCCTGAGATCCTAGGTGTCGAGATGCCGAGGCCTCTTGCTCAGCCTCGTGAGCACCGCTCAGGGTGCACGGCATGGACCGAGCCTCTGGCCGCCACTCTGAGTGCTGTGGTGGCAGCTTGGGGGTGCGGGCCATGGACACCCGGCGGCAGCATACAGGAAGCTCTGCCACGTGACCTGCTCTTACAGCAATCGCGGCCCCTGCCGGCCCCTAGGGAGGAAGGAAGTCCCAACTTCGGTCTCCAGAGATTCTGATACAGACGGCTCTTAGGTTGAACAAGCAGAGAAAAGTCCCTACCCTGCCATCTCACATCAGTCGTCACCCATCCTGCTCCATCTCCTTGGAGGTGGCCAATCAACTTGACATGACATGGCCTCCTCAAGCCACTGATCCCGCGGACCAGAAGCCAGAGCCAGGAGTGGGGCCATCTCTGTCTGCCCGTTAGGCTGATGCTTCTGGTCACCTTGCATCACCAAGGTCATCACTACTACCACTACCAACCCCACAACTATGACCCTACAGTCATCCCCACTGTCATCAGCATACCGACAGCCATCATCTCTCTAGCAAGCACCCTCCAGCCAGCACCCTCAGCTGTCACCCCCACAGTCATCATTGCTGCTAGCACCCTCACTGTCATCAGCCTCCTGGCTGTCACCCTTATGGACGTCCCAGCTAGTCACCGACAGCGACTGGACCCCTACAACCATCAGCCCTATAGCCATCACCTTTATGGCTGTAAAGACACCCCCAGGGGTCACGGCGGCAGGCATCCCCACTGCCATCGCCACCACTTGCTAGAGCAGCCAGCCTTCCAGTCAACACCGCTCAGCCGTCTGCCTCTGTCTGCCCCACCTCTGCTGTCCTGGTCACGGCCATCTCCCTATAGCATTCATCCCCGTTGCCACCAGCACACCTAGAGCCACCCTCACCAGAGCAGTCATGCTTGGAGTCAAAACACCTTCACTCCCCTGCCCCCACCCTGTCTATCATCACAACAGCCAGCACCATGAAAAAGACAGGCTTTTGCAAACAGCTTCAGACCATCAGCAAATGTTCCAGCCGAGAGGTATTTCTTAAATGCGTGTGGGGTTTAGAATGTTCACTTTGTGGGTTATCTGTGGCAGGTATTTTAATAACTTCAATGATCTTATAGAAGTAATTCCTATTCATCACATATAATTTAGCAAACACAAATATACAAAAAGAAGAAAATTTAAAAATTCTCCATAATTACAATGTTTGGATAAATATCTTTTTCTTTTTTTGAGCATTTAACTACCCCCCCCCATTTTACAAAAATGATACTTCACAGAAAGCCGATCTGTGGTTTGAGGGAATATGGACAGGAGGGAGAGGTCAGAGAGGGCACAAGGACCCTTTTGGGCGTGATAGATATGTTCACTATCTTGGTTGCCATGGTGGTTTCATGGGTGTATATGTATGTTAAAACAAATCATACATTTTAAAAACGTGCAGATTCTTGCAGGCCAATTATACCTAAACAGAACCATTTTTACATTTTTAAAAATTAAAAGAGGTCACACTTCACAAATGGTGTTGATATCTGCTTGTCCAACTGAATACAGTATCACTGAGAATTTCTCAAGCTATGAGATATTCTTCAACTCTGCCATTCGTAACGGCTGCCAAGCAGCACATCGTACGCATGTACCATGATTATTTCAACACCCCAGGGATGAACTTAGGTTGGCTTCATTTATTTTTTTTCCCTACTCTTCGCAGTACATCCTTAAGGTAAATATTCACATCCACAATTTTTCCTTTGGATAGATTTCCAGAAGGGGAATCCTGGGGTAACAGGTGCTCATCTTTTTAAGGCTTTCCTTTCTGTGGCACTTGTGAAATCCAGAGCTGCCCCCCCCCCCCCCCTCCCCCCCCCCCCCCCCCCCGGTTCCCAAGATCTTCTTGTGACTTCCTTCCCGCTGTCCCCCAGCTTGCCCCACGCCCTTTGACCATCGTTCCTTCGGGGTGAGCTCAGTGAAGACAATCCTTCTCCCACAAGTTGAAACCATACTTCTTTGACTCTTCCTCCTAAGCTGGCGGGTCGGGGGGCCAGCACCCCAGGTCGCTCCCCCACGGGCCACGCTCCCCTCGCTGGAAGCTGGAGAGCGCCAGGGCTCCCACCGCCCGGGTTGGAGGCCTGGGAAGGAACCTGTCCACGTAGGGGACCTAGCGGGAGCAGGGGCTGGGAGGGTGACCCCGCGAGTCGGGGGCGGGCACAGGTCTGCAGGGGCCCTGGGCGCTCGGAGCTGGCTGCGCTAGCGGCCGGAGGCGGAGCCCGCCGCAGAACCTTCAGGGCCTGCGCCGCGTCCGCGGACCGGCGTGCAGGATGTGCCCTGCTTCCTGTTTGCTCAGCCCCAGCCACGAGCCGAGCTCACACACTAACCGCAGAGCCTTCAAAGGCAGTCAGCTAACCAGGGTTCTAGGCGGCCGCCTCGCCTAGGCCTGGGAAAAGGCGGGGTGGTGGTGGTGGCGGTGGTGGTGGAGGGGAACCTCTATCTAGTGAAGTACAGAGAGGCCACCAAACCCCCCCTCTCCCCCCAACCCCGGGACAGAAGGTAGCGAGTGTGTTCTGTCTACGCTGCCCTTCTGTCTCCTTTTCAGATGTGCTTCCTCTGGTCAGCAGCTCCTCCCCACCCCCTCTCTGGGGATCCAGGGCTCCCCTATTTGGACTCGCCTTCCCCCAACTTTTCCCTCCCAGTACGTTGCCCTGGCCTAACACATTGCCCAGTCCCCAACTGGCTAATGGGCCCTAAACGCCTTTTAAACAGGTTTCCCTTCTGGGCAACACATTACCATTTTATAGGTCACTTCCCAGGTACACAGATCCGTCAGCTAAAGAGGTGGTCTAGATCAGTAGTGCAGTGAACAAGGCCGCCTCAGTCTTGATAATGGGCTGGCAGACAGGACCGAGGACTAGTTCTGGGCAGAGCATCGTGCTGAGCACTGTGAAGAGACGCAAAATAAAGTTGTCAAAGTCCCTTGCACCTGGGAACTTCCGTCTAGGCAGGGAGGCAAGCTCACATTTGCCCAGCACTTGCTCTCCGCCAAGCACTACGTTAAACCCAACACAACCCCCTGAGGTAAGCAGTTTAAATTGGGATTACTATGGCAAAATGTGCCCGGTATAGATGTGGGGTGGGAAAGCCCTGATTTAGCAGCAATATTGCTATTGTGTGTTTTGGGGTAGGAGGTGGCACAGATAAGTGAGATGCGTCTGAACCCTCAGAGGGTAGACAATAGGGCTATGAATACAGGACGGTTATCATCAGCTGCGTTCACGTAGAGCAGCCCACCCCCCACCTACACCCCTGAAGAGATTCTAATTTGGTAGAAGATCATGGGAGGGATATTTAGGGCAGTTGGGACCCCGGTATGTGTGAAAGTGTCCCTCCCTCGAGCTCCTAAAGGGTACAATCCTGCTTTGAGAGAGTAAGGATTTGGGTATGGAAGGATATCTATATTTGGCTAAACCTCCCAAATGATTCTTATTCTCACCTCTCCCGGCCACACATGCACATCCGGTGGAAGATAATACTCTGTGGCAGGCGGTGGGAGTGAAGAGAAAGGGGAGGGCGTCTGGAAGTCTGATCCTGTGCACAAAAGCTGAATAGTTAGGGCCATGTATGTGTGTGGGCGGGTATCTATAGGGGAGTCCCATCAACCTGGGGAGTACTCAACACCTGTAATATTTGGCTTAGAGGTTTGGAGTGGAGAAGCAAGTTGACTTTGAACAGCTGTCATGTAGAGGAAAGATCTATTCTGGGTGGCAAGGAATGATGGGAAACATAAATGGAAGGTTTGGTTTTCTTCCCAGGAAGAAAGACATTTTCGGGGTATGTGTATATGTGTGTGCGTGTGTATGTGTTTAGAAAGGGAGACAGTGAGTGGGAGGGGAAGAGGCAGAGGGAGGTAGAGAGAATCTTAAGCAGGCTCCATTGTGGAGCCCCACACAGGGCTCAATGCATGGCTCGACCTGGCGCTTGTTCTCACAAACCTGAGATCGTGACCTGAGCCTGTAGCAAGAATCAGAGGCTTAACTGACTGAGCCAGCCAGGCGCCCAGACATTTTCGACAGTTAGATGGTACTAGTTCAGCCCTGGTTAAGTAGTAGAGCTTCCCATCTCTGGAAATGTTCGAGCAGAGACTACGTAGTTGCTTGGAAATACTTGGGCATTTCCAAGGTGAAGTCCACTTTGGAAAGCCCAGCCCGTTAGCAGATTTCATGGTGGTAATCTTAGGCAAGGAGCATGAGGAGAGTAAAAGCGCAGGTAGGAGGAGGGCAAGAACCTGGACAGGAAGCATCCATTCCTCAGGCACACACACAGTACGTGCAGAGTGTACAGCTCTAGGAGTGTCAGGGAGTCCCTGGTAGCAGGGGCTGATGGGAGGGAAAGTCATCTCTGAATCTCTGAGCCCATGATACGTCTTGGTTTAAAAACAAAGAACACCTGCAGGCAGCTGTGGCTATGACCGCAAAGAAGAGGCTGGGTTTTTTTTTTCTTTTTTTTTCATTTATTTGAGAGAGAGAGAGTGAAAGAGAGCATGAGAGGGGAGAAGGTCAGAGGGAGAAGCAGACTCCCCATGGAGCTAGGAGCCTAATGTGGGACTCGATCCCCAGACTCCAGGATCATGACCCGAGAGGAAGGCAGTCGCTTAACCAACTGAGCCACCCAGGTGCCCAAGGCTGGGCTTTGGTGCTCTGATAAAAACACACTCACTACTCACTGTAGGGCCTTTCTATGGGAGACTGGGAGGACCGGGCTGCTCTGCCTAGGACTGTGTCCCAAGGTTACAAGGACGAAAGTCACTGAGCCATCTAGGGGACAATTATCTGGGAAGAGGAAGAGCAGGAGACACCTCCCAGAAATGGGGTCAGGTAGGACTGGATTCAGATTGCCATATATCACAGGTTGTGTGACCTTGGGCAAATGACCTTGTGCAATGCGGTCTCGGGGAAACAATGATAACGTGGGCCTTGTTTGGGGAGTGTGTGTGTGTGTAAATAACCAGAGTTACCCAGATGACATATTAGAGAGAATGCGGTCAGTCCAGTGCACAGCTCATGCAAAATGCTTGGTACTTGGTGGGGGACTATCTCAGTTTACTCCAGGCTCCACCCACAGTGTCTCCTCTTGCCTTGGCACCTGCGTCTGCATCTCGCCTGGACCCCACCTGAATCTCTGCTACATGACTCTGGCCCATATCCTGCGTGTCTCCACCTTGCCAAGGGCAGAGTCCCTCAGCCCAAGTTAGTCTAGGACACAGAAGGCGTGACAAGCAAGACAATCTAGAAGTACTCAGGACCACTGGGAGGGAAATTAGCTTTTCAGCTTCAAGGCCTTGGCTATGGACCCCTGGGGTTTTCTCAACCACCCATCCTACCCTACTGGAGCTGCCAGCTCAGTTCCTGTTTCACAAAGAAACAAGGAAGTGCCGAGGTGGGCCAGCCTGAGGGCAAGGGCTGGCTGGGCGTGGTCAGGGAGCACCTCCTACTTCCAGCTTAGAGAGCCCTGGAGGGCAGGGATGGACATGGAGGAAACAGTCGCTATCGAGTCTTTCATATTTCCGCCTATTTTTTGGCACCAAGAGCGCCCAGCCACTGATTTGAGGAAGTGCATGGTGAGTTGGTAAAATTCGCTGCTGACGTGGTTTAGCCGAGTGAAGGCAGCCAGCTCCACCCCTTCCGTGGTCCCAGCTCACGAAGCACTGGAGTCAGCTAGCTGGCAAATGAGAGAGGACTGGCTTAGTTATAATTTTAAAAATGAACCATTTAGATTCTTTGTGTATATACGTAAGTAAGTATGTATGTATGATCTCACCCAGGTTCTTTCCTATTCCAAAAAAGTTTTAAAGCATCGAAAAATGTAACTCAGTCCCATCATCACGCCTGTGTGCCCGGCAACTAACTGGTCTCCTTGGGCTTCAGTTTGCTCCTTAGAGGCAACAGGGAGTGGCAGAAGGACACACTGAAAGCCCGAGAGAGCGAGCACAGTTGAGTCAGGATGCTGGGGATTAATCCTCGCTTGGGCCCCAATGGGCTGTGTGACCTTGGGCAAGTCCCTCCTTTTTCTGGGCTGCTGTTGCATTTCCCCATCTCTACATCAAAGGGATGAAACCCGCTTTTTCTTAGTTTTATTTGGTTTATTTGGTTTGGTTTGGTTCTGGTCATGGAGCTCCCAGTCCGGGCTGGCTGTGGGATTTGTGGGACCTGGTAAAAGTGAAAATGCAGGGCCCCTTGTTCAGACATTTTTAAAAAAGATTTTACTTATTTATTTGAGAGGGAGAGACAGTGAGAGAAAGAATGAGAGGGGAGGTCAGAGGGCGAAGCAGACTCCCCTTGGAGCTGGGAGCCTGATGTGGGACTCGATCCCGGGATTCCAGAATCATGACCTGAGCCGAAGGCAGTTGTTTAACCAACTGAGCCACCCAGGCGCCCTGGTCAGACATTTTAAAAAATCTCAAAATGATGACAGCAGAGCACAGGGCTCTTCTTAAAAAAAAAAAATCTATTTATTTATTAGAGAGAACACGAGCAGTGGGAGAGGGGCAAAGGGAGAGGGAGCAGGGAGCCCAACATGGGGCTTGATTCCAGGACCCTGGGATCATGACCTGAGCTAAAGGCAGATGCTTAGCCAACTTAGCCACCCAGGCGCCCCTGTACAGGGCTCTTCTAAGCACACGGCCCTACGTGATTGCACAGGTCCATCACCCAGAAGTTGCCCCTGCAACTACTTCCAATACAATTTTAAGGGCAGCCCATGTAGCCTGCTTTTGGCTGGAGCTCTGCTTTTTGTGGCAGTCCTTGTGGCATTTCTAAGGATCCTCTGGCTCTTAGGAAGCATCGCTGGAAAAACACAAATTAGATACTTGGTCGAAAGCCTGTGTAGTTTCGATGATGTAGGTATAAAATTTAGGATGCCCAGTTTTTTCCTTACCTACCTCCGAAGGTGAGGCAAGAGTTGAAGTTGTGCTGAGCGAATAATAGCATTATCATCTCCCGTCTGCGTGGCTTCCTGGCTAACAGAGTGCAGTCACATCCGGGTCTTATGAGCCTCTCACGGTAACCTCATGTGGAAGGTGGTATAGGTAGTTTACGGAAGAGAGAACTGAAGACCAGAGAGGTGAAGTGACTTGCCTCTAGATACACAGAAGGCCCAGCTAGAACTAGAACCCTAGAATCTGAACTCCTAAGTAAAGGGGCTTTTCCAAGGGGGCGTTTCTTTATCTTCAGTTCCTAATGAAGTCTTAAGTGCTCGTGCGTGGGTTGGCCTTGCTGTGTATGCTTGAGCATTGCCCTGTCTGGTGCAGCGTGAAGCCCTTCAAGTAGGCTGCTCAGTGTGCTGACAATCTGGGCCCCAAGGAGGGATGAGCTGGGGTAGCAGCAGCCCCCCCGACCCAGCCATACTTCTGATGCACTCCACCCCACCCCATGCTGGTGGATTGGAAGGGGTAGGTCAGGGAAGCAATGAGGCAGAGCCCCGGGTCTTGCACTGAAGGGACGAAGGAGGAGCACGTGAGCTGCCCTGGGCTGAGAGGCCTGTGAGCAGGTCCCTGTCAGGTTTCTCAGGCCCGCCTGCTGCCTGTCAGAGCCAGGCCTGTCAGAACCCCAGGAGCAACGTCAGGGATCAAAGGGAAAGATCTGGGGAAGCAGGATGGTGTGGAGAACAACAGTTGGGTCTGAATTCTAACTCACCAGCCTTGTGACCCTGTCTGAGCCTTAGTTTTCTGAGGTACGTGAGAGCCGTACCACCTGCCCTTTCCTGAGAGTGCGTTCTTGAGTCATCTGACTGGTTTGAATCCTGCTTTTATCATGTCCTTGAGGAGTGACCTTGAGCAAGTCAGTTAATCTCTATGAGCCTCACTCGTTTTCTTCTCTTGTAAAACAGGAACAATAAAAGGACCTTCTCAGAGGTTGTGGACATTAAGTGAGAAAATGAGATAATGTATGGTACACTTGACAATATATGAGAGGGTACATCTCATGTTTACCATTCCTATCACAATAAAATAAAAAATATTTTTAAAGTGCATATAAAGCACAGTGCCTCAAATATACGAAACACTCAGTGAATGGTAGTGTTGATGACGATTGTGATGATGATGGCGATGGTGTTAACTCTAATTTTATTAGTAGTAGCTGTCTTTGTGGGGTGACCAGGTGAGAGAGTAAATGAATCGGCAAGTTGAGGCCCGCTGTTGGGTGCCGTAGGCTTGCAGTGAGGACGGCTGCGGTCTCTGGATGCAAGCCTCAGTGGTGATAACTGTCACAGGTCATCAGTAAAATCAGTAAAATAGGCCTGGTGGTCCCAGGCTGGGGGATGAGACTGCCTGGCGCCTTTACCCAGCACTCTGCCCCGGAGACCTGGTTGTCTCCCCGCCCAACTCCGACCCTGCTCAGCAGAGCACAGGCATTGCTTCCAACTTTCCTGGACTGCATTTGACAAGCCCTGCAGCATGGGGCTCCCTTCCATCCTCTCCAGAAGGCTGTGACCTTTGGCACAGGCAGTGGTTGACTGAATGTTCACACACGTACATGCATGCAAGCTCACATGCCCATCTCAAGCCCGTGTGCTCCCCAACGGAGCTTCTGAGAGCCTCACATCCCTCCCCGCCCCTCACCCCCTCCCCTTCCTCCCCCACCACAAAAGCCACAGGTAACAGCAGTCCCCAGCAACACAGAAGACACAGTGTAAAACCCAGAGGCAGGCTTCGTTGCCATGCTGTTTTAAGTATCTAGCAGGATGTGAGCCCAGGTGGCTAACGGCAGGGCTGACCAAAGAAAACTCCCTCCCTCCCCTCCGCCCTGCCCCCAGCAGCAGGCTCAGTGAACTTGGAAGGGGCTGGGAGGTATGCTAAGGGATTTTACATAGTGCCAAAGGGCAAAATAGCCGGACTGTGGGCCCATTCTGACTCCGCCTGTGTCCCACCCAAACACTGTATCCTTGGAGAGGTCCCCCGTGCCGGAAGTCAGTTTTCCTATCTGTAAAATGGGAAAAGCAGAGTCCCACAAGTTGAGCCAGCCCACACAAGTTCAAGACCATCTGAGGATGCTGGAGGATTTGTTGGCATTGTCATTGTAGCTGCATTTTGGAAGGTTAAAATGGCCACACACGTGCTGGGGAGTCTGGGATAGTGATTGGGCATTGCTGCTGAGGCTGTTCCCAACTTTGGGTAGGGTCATATTCCAAAACGCTCCCCACATTCCCTCCTACCCCACGGCCCAGTTCCTATGGCTGAACTCCCTGTCTTGTGCCTTGGCATGGAATCCACCCAGGGTTTAGAAGTGACAATCTCACGTGGGGGGCAGGCTGGTGTACGTACGTGCCCCTTTCTGGCTGGCCTCCCTGGTTGCAGAAGACTCAGCCTCCTTCCCTTCCTCTCCCTTCACAGGTTCAGCAGGGACCCTAGGCCAGAAGGGCGCTGTAGGGCCAGGGGCGGGTTGGGAGATGGTCAGAAGCAGCTTCAAGGGTGTGGAAAGACCAAGTCAGGAGCCAGTGGGGGTGGGAAGAGCTCCAGTATATCCAGCAGGTGGTGATAGGGTGGGGCTCTTGGGGGGGTGGCGTGGAGACCCTGGGGATAGGGTACTGCCTTATACTGGTCTTTGCGGGGGTGGGGGTTATAGGTTAGGCCTACTGGGCTCACAAGAGGAAAGGTGCCAGGGGACTCTCCTATCCCAGGGCTAGGGGTTGGGAGCCTAGGGTGAGGTGTACAGGCCCACCGGGGACATGCCAGGGCCAAGAAGCCCTGGGTCTCTGGGGTTTAGTCCTGGAGAAGAAAGCTGAGGGCAATGGTTTCCGGGCAATGGGTTGGCAGGGGCTCTGGGAGCGCGGGTGGTGCAGGGTGAGGGGAGATGAGCTAGAGCGTTGGCCAGGGAGTCTGCGCGTCTAGACGCTCCAGCTGAGGATGGTAAGAGAGGAGACTGCCAGCAGAGAGGCCAAGGAGGCAGTACATGGGGCCCTGGCGGACAGGGGCTCTGTGTGCCGCTGCAGCCACTCGAACTCCTCCAGCAGCAAGCGCTGCTGCAGCTCTGGGCCCACCTTCTCACGGATGGTCTGGTAGTAACGGTTCAGGTACTGGAGCTGCAAAGGGAAGGAGGGCTGAGGGCCTCCCCAGGCCAAGCTGCCACGAGAGGAGGTCTTGGTGCCAGCCAGTCCACTCGACAGTATTCTGGCTGCCTACCCTGGCGCCCAGCCACCATCAGGCCACAGACATTCTCTGGGGGCTTTTCAGAGGCAGTTTGCTACAGTGACCATTTAGTGTCATGGTGACTTTCTTGGGGTGGGTGGGGGATGGGAATGGAATGAAAGTTGGGCGAACATTATTATCCCCATTTTATAGAAGAAGAGACTGAGGCTTATATTAGGATTTCAGGTGGCAGAGTCCAGAGACTCAGTCTCAGACTCCCCAGGAGTTCACTACCTAGGGTTGGGCAGGTTGGGCTGACCAGAGAGTTCTAGACACCTTGGATTCTCTGGGGAGGCCCCAGTGTGTGCCTACAAGCCAACAGTGTGGACTGTCCCAGGGGAGGGGAAGTGGCAGAGGGTCTTGGGGTAGGGAGAGCAGAGGTGAGAGGCCCAGGGTTGGGAAGAAGGCAGTCATGGTTCATGGGCCGAAAGATGGACAGTGCTGAGGGTCACTTACGTGTTCGGGAGACAACAGGCTGACGTCAATGAGGTTCCGGTCATAGGGTACCAAGGACACCACTTCAAAGGTCAGGTAGGACCCTGGGTACTGGAATGTCAGAGGGAAGGTAGGAAAGAAGGAGAATGAGTGAGTAGAAGGGGCTTGGCTGAGGGGCCCCACGCAGAAGCAATGGGTACAGGGAATGGGCCCTCGTCAAGCCCGAGACTCAAGGTAGGCTGGACGTCCTACAGTCCCCATGTCCAGCCCCCACACCCCAGTCTGCACTCAGCACCTCATCTTTGGTGCTTATCAGATCTGTATTTCTCTCCTTTTTAAAAAAGATTTTATTTATTTATTTGACAGAGATCATAAGTAGGCAGAGAGAGGCAAGCAGAGAGAGGGAGAAGCAGGCTCCCTGCTGAGCAGAGAGCCTGATGCAGGGCCTGATTCCAGGACCCTTGAGACCATGACCCAATCTGAAGACAGAGGCTTTAACCCACTGAGCCACCCAAGTGCCCCAGATCTCTGTTTCTCCAAGTGTGTGCTCTATAACACAGCAGGGGCCTTGTTAAATATGTAGATTCCCAGGTCCACTCCCTAGACCACTGGAGTGAGAACTTCTTGCACAGGGCTGGGAACTCACATTTAAATAATTTTAAGGTAAGTTATTAGGTTTTTATATCTATCTATCTAATATATATCTTTATATATTTCTATCTCTATCTAAATCTCTTTGTATCTCTTGATTGACCTACCTTTAGAAATAGGTATAAAAAAGACAAAATAGTCCATAATTCCCATCTCCTAGAGATCCCTTGCATGGTTGTGCTTAGAAAATTCAAACTACCATAAGATACACAATAAAAATGGAAAGTCTCCTCCCTGCCCAGTTCCCTTCCTGAAAACATTTAAGACATATACAGTAATTAATCTATTAATTAATTATTTTAATCCACACAAAATGGATCCTACCACTTGCTTTTCTGCACCTTCTCTCCACCCTGTTAATGGTAAATGTAGGCAAGTGGTGCATATTAACACGAGGATATCCACCTCCCTCTTTTCTAAGGGCTGTGTAAGGGTCCACAGTATGCATGACGATATACTTAACCAGTGGCGGATACTTAGGCTGTTTCCACTTCTTTTTTTACTATGACTATCGATGCTACAACCCACATCAATGTATAAAACATCTTGGTGACCTTGTGGGACTAGATCCAAAAGACACATATCTGGGAGAGGGATTGCCAAGACAAAAGGTATAGGCATTTTATTTTATGTTATGTTATTTTATTTTTAAAAAGCTTTTATTTATTTATTTGAGAGAGAGTGTGTGTGTGTGAGTGAGAGAGAGAGAGAGATAGAAGGAGCAGGGGGAGGGGCAGAGGGAGAAGGAGAAGCAGACTTCCCACTGAGCAGGGAACCCAGATGTGGGGCTTGTGGCTTCATCCCCAAGACGCCGGGATCGTGACCTGAGCGGAAGGCAGATGCTTAACTAACTGAGCCGCCCAGGCGCCCCAAGGCATTTTAAATAGATATTTTTATTGATATTTTCAAACTGTCCTCTAGAAAGATTGTATCAATTTGTGCTTCCTCCAGCAGTGTGTGAGAGGGCCCATTTCCTCATAGAGTCACTGTGAGTCAATCTGGATATCACTAAAATCACTCACTGTTTGCCAATCAGATAGGTGAAACATGGTAATCTATTGTTATTTTGATTTGTGTTTCTTTAAGAGTAAAGTCGAGCATCTTTGCATGCTTATAGATCATTTGTGTTTATCATAGAGAGTTGCCTCTTCATGTCCCTTGCCTCTTTTCCTGATTTTTGTCTTAATGATTTGTAAAAAGCTCTTGGCAAAAGAAGGAAACGCATGCTTTCCCTGTGGTACCTACTCTATTTGTCATACATATTTTGACTTTGTTTATGATATTGTTTCCGTATATACAGGGTTTTTCTTTTTAAAGATTTTACTTATCTGAGAGAGAGAGAGAGAGAGAGAGAGAGAGAAAGCATGAGCGGGGGGAGGGGCAGAGGGAGATGCAGACTCCCCACTGAGCAGGGAGCCTGCTGTGGGGCTCAATCCCAGGACCCCGGGATCATGACCTGAGCTGAAGGCAGATACTAAGCCAACTGACCCACATAGGCACCCGTCCATATAGACAGTTTTACATTACTATCTTTTTCTTCACGGCTTTTGGATCTTGCATAGAAAGGCCCATTTCAACCCTCCGATTATAAATGAATTTATATAGATTTCTTCCAGATCTTTTATGGTTTTACCTTTAAATCTTGATCCATTCAGAATTTTATTTTGGGGTAACAGTAAGGTTCTTCACTTAAATAGCCCCCAAATGATTAGCCATTTGTCTCCCCTGCCCATTTATTAAATCTCTCTTGTCTTTACTGTTTTGAAACCCCAGTTTTATTATAAATTAAATTCCCATTTCATTTACAGAACTTAGAAGGGCACCTGGGTGGCTCAGTTAGCAAAGCATCCGATTCTTGATTTGGGATCAGGTTGTGATCTCAGGGTTGGGAGATTGAGCCCCAAGTCAGGCTCTAGCCCCAGCGTGGTGCCTGCTTAAGATTCTCTCTCCTTCTGTTCCACCCCAAGCCCCAAGAAAAAAAGGAAATTAGAGGGTATATTTCTGGATTAGTTGTTTTTTTCCACTGTGACATCTGTCTCTCCCATCATTACAGTAGCTTCATTGTATGTGTTAATATCTGAAAGGCCGGTTTCCCTTATTGCTCTTCTTTTCCAGAATTTTCCTAGCTACCTAGCTATTTTTAAATGTTAATTTTACAAAGAGTACTATCATTTTGTGAAGTTACAAAAGCATCCCGTTAACACTGAAATTGAGGTGGTCTTGAATTTATAGATTGATTTCGGGAGAAATGACACCTCCGTAATATTGAGGCTTCTTTCCAGAGAGCACCATTTACTTAAATCTTTTTTATGGCCCTCAGTAGAGATTTTCTCTGTATAAGTCTTTTTATGTTTATATGTAGGTATTTTATCCTGCCGGCTGCTATTATAGGGAATCTTCGTATCTAACAAGCTCCCCTGGTGATTATTATAGGCATTGAAGACCAATAATTTAGGACAGGGATACTGATTCGTTTGGTCTAGAGTGGGACCTGGGCATCAGCATTTTTTTTAAAACTACAGGTGATCTTTTTGTTAGTTTGTTTTAAAGATTTTATTTATTTATCTGACAGACAGAGATCACAAGTAGGCAGAGAGGTGGGCAGAGAGGGAGAAGCCGGCTCCCCGCCAAGCAGAGAGCCTGATGTGGGGCTCGATCCCAGGACCCTGGGATCATGACCCGAGCCAAAGGCAGAGGCTTAACCCACTGAGCCACCCAGGTGCCCCTGGGCATCAGCATTAAAACCAAAAGGCTCTTCTGATGATGCTGATATTCTAATGTGCAAACAGGCTTGAGAAATTCTGAGCTATTACGGAATTTTTCTGGAGCACAGGAAAACTCCAAATCAATTCATGTCCACCTATTAAATGTCCTCCTCTTTGGACCTTCCTTATACTCCATGGAGCCCAAAGTCCCTGTCATGCTGTCTGTAGCTCTAACCCGTCCCAGCAGCACTTTACCTTGGTCTTTGCTTCTACCACGAGGGCCACATCTTCAAGACGTATCCCAAATTCTCCATCCTGATAGTAACCAGGCTCTAGGAAACACAGAGATGCTGGTGGTATTAAGCAGGAGAAGGACCCAAGTCCGTGTTTCCTGTACCAATCGAGGAGTGGCTGGAGGCCCAGCTGCCTGGCTGCTCCAGGCTCAGGCAGACCCACCACTGACCATAGGGGAGGCCAGGCCTTATGGCCCAGCAGGGAAGACATAATAGCTCACTTGGATCCTGGAGGCACTCCTATCTCCTGGCGTGCTACTGTCCTGTTACACCAGCATTTGACTGGAGACTCCAGAGTTTGGATGTACAACCAGGAACCAACTCCCAAGGGCAAAATGAAGGTTTGAGCTGAAGGGATTTAGGATTAGCATGGGACAATGCACTTGGGGCTGGGAGTGCTGGAGCCCAGAGGGCCTGTGCCTGGCATGCTCTCTGAAGGCTGGTGCTCCCTCAACTGCAGTCGTAGGCTGGTCTTAGGGTAGGGAGGGGGGTGGAAGAGCCCAAGAGCCATACCGATGGAAGTGAACATGCCCTTGGCCATGGGGATGTTGCCAGACTGGAATCCCACTGGCCCTGGAAAAGGAGATGTAGGCATGATGTCAACTCTCCCATACTCACCAGCTTGGAAACTAGCAGGCTCTAGGGAGGAGCAGGTAACTGGGGACTGCTGGGGGTTCTTTAGCAGCACTTGTCCACCACATCACTGTCTACCTAGGACTGGTATGGAGACCAGACTGGCTCTGCTTTTCATTACTCTGACATTGATGCCAGCCAGCTGCTAGGCCTTGACCTGCCACTCTTCTCTCTGAGCCCTTCCCCAATGCCAAGCAGGCAGCAGGAAGGGCCAGTTCCTACCATTTCTCACTTACCTTGTGGAGCATCACCTCCCACCAGCTGGGTAACCCTGGGTGGGTCACTGCATCCCTGTGGGTCTTAGTCGTTTCCATACCTGTGAAATGCTCTACCTCCTTCATAAGACGGGGGACCCCAGGGAAGTGTAAAAGAGACACCTACACTCGTGCACGCACAGGAAGTTGCCAATGCCATGGCCTGTCCCGTGACCATAATTGAGCCCAACATCCCACAAGGCTCTGCGGGCAAAGACCTCCATCACTCGCCCTGCAAGAGAGATGGCCCCAATCAATTGGCTGGACCCCAGATGCTCTGCTTCACCCCATGCTGCTTTCTCATCCCAGAGCCAACTCCCAAGATGGTACCCGTGGAGAGTTGCTCCTGAGAGGAAGCTTAGCTAGCATGCACTTTCCCCAGAACGTCTCACATCGTACCTATGACTGCTATAACCCACAGAGACCTCACCCTCCCCATGGATATACAGTATTGAATTAGGAGGCAGGAGGCCTGGGTTCAAGGCTTCCTCCCCCAGTAACACTGTGTGTGACCTTGGACAAGTTGCTTTCACTCTCGGGGTGGGATCTATACAATCTACACGATGGATGGGATGAGGATATAATCCGTGCCCCACTAGCTTCCCAGGGTGGCCATCTGGGTCCAGTGAAATCAGGGCCTGAGTCTCTGGGCCCAGCCTGCTTTCCAAAACCCACCTGATGTACTAGCAGGAAAGACGAGTCTGGACAGATCGATATTTCCTATCAACACGCGGGTATATGCCTCCTGATGGGGAGAGGGAGAGTTAACATGCTGAGTAAGAGGAGGGTCTTGGTAGTTTTCAGGTGCTCAGCCTGGGCCCACACAGGTGTGTGGGTCCAGGCCTGCAGGGGGGCTTAGTTGGGGGGAAGGTGTGTGCTCACGTGTGGTCACTCAGGTTCTGGAAAATGGTCAGGGGCAGCTGAAGGGACCTGTTGAAACTTGGAGCTTGGTCCATGTGGTTCTCTTTGGCTGGCCCACAAAGGACATTTATACATGGTGGTGGGCTGAGGCCTGACAGTAGGGAGTTGGGAGGCAAGCTCCCTGAGCTAGAATTCCAAGCTGGCCACTCACAAACTCTGAGACCTTGGGCAAGCAACTTTAACCACTCGGTGCCTCAGTTTCATCCTTTGTATTGGAATGATCAGAGCACTAGCTCAGAAGGCTGTTGGGAGGAGTAGGTAGACTCCCACACATAAGGTGCTTCAAACAGTAAATGTTCAAATAGAGGTCAGTGCCCTTATTACTGTTATGCTCATCCTTCAGTTTTCTTAAGGCCTTGGGTTCGGGTTGGGGCCCCATAATCTGGGAGGTCAGCTTTGCTTGGTTGGGCTGCTCACCTTGTGGATAAAGGGAGGGAGACAGGCTGACAGAAACCTCTTTACTCCTTGTGACAATGTGGTAAGTCCCTTTCATCACACACACACACACACACACACACACACATAGGCTTGCCATCTTGTACAGGACAGCCTGTGGACTCAACCCATGAAACTGTGAGCTCCTAGAGGCCTGGCCAGCTTTTGATTTTTTCTCTCTTTCCAGCACCATGCCTGAGTCATGGTCTGCTTGCCAAATGCATGAATGCAACCCCCCCAACCCCCGCTGCCGATTCCCACCCACTCAGAGGCGCTCAGCGCACACAGGGGAAGTCCTAGCCTCTGCTCCAGGTAGACCAGCCCTCGCTCCTTTCTGGAAACCTCCAGCTCCTTTCTACCTCACCTCTGAGACTGCCTGTGCTATTTCTCTCTGCCTGGAATGCTTTTTTCCCTCCTTCCTGCTGCACACAGGTTTAGGCACACAGACAGCACCAAGTAAATATTTGTTCACTGATTTCCTGAAAAGGGGTGGTGAAGAGCTTCAGCTGAGGCCCTGTTGGAAGCTGAAATATTTCTGGGGAAATAGCTAGGAGCATTCGGTTTTCTAGTTCTATCTTGCTGTGTGACCCTGGGCAAACTGCTTAACCTCTCTGGGCCTCAGTTTTAGCCTCTGTAAAATGAAAGGCTCTTGCTGGAGTGATTGCTTGGATGTCTCTTGGGTAAAGGTGGGTAGGGGAATTCTGGGTCCAATGCTTACCTTTTGGAAAGCAGAGGGGGTACCCCAGTGGATTGTTCTGGTGATGTCTGTGGTTCCGTCCCTGTGGACAAGGAAAAGCAACATATACAGTTCTGCTGAGTACCTGGGGGTAGGGATCGTGGCTGTGTGCTTCCCGTGTGCTTTCCACTCGGGTTCGAGCAGCAGGAATGGGGTGGGGCTGAGGTGGGTTAGGGGTAAAGGAAGAACACAGATGCTATCCTCAAGTCCCCATCTTCAGCATCTGTGCATAAAGGGATTCTGCAAAGCTGTTGAGTTCAAAATCGCTAGGTTGTGTGACAATCCTGATGCCCCACATACATACCCCACCCCCATATCGCCTATTTTGGCTGTTTTATAAACATGAGTTTCTTGGGTCAGCCTGGCTTTCAAAGCAGAGTTTCTTCCAGGCTTTCAGGGAGGCTGGAGGGAGAAGGAATATCCCATTTTTACCAGTGGAGAAACTGAGGTTCAGAGAGATCGTCACACTGTTACACATTCACATAGTTATTTCCCATTTCTAGAACACTTTTGCAGCTCCCTTGGAAGGGTAGCAGAAGAGGCCACGTTATCCTCATTTCCCATTACCCTCATTCCCCAATTGAGGCCATGAGCTATCTCCCTTTCTGAGCCTCAGTGAAGCCAGGCCTGGAGCAAATGCTGACTCTACACATGGATCTGACCCAAGGACTTGCTCAGAGTCCCAGGGAACTGAAGCCAGGAGCCAAAATGTCTGACTCCCAACCACCAGCAGCAGCTGTGCCCCCAGATGGCCCCTGTGGCCACCACCAGGGAGGGGGAGGGGAGAAATGGTCCCAGGGCCCTGGGGATTCCTCCCTGGGAGCAGGTCACAGGGCGTGGCTGACTTCTTCAAGAAGGAGAGAAGAGGAAGTGAGGTGACCGTTTCCCTGGCCTCACCCTGCTCAGAGCGTGCCCCAGTCCAGCAACGCCCCACAAATCCACTTCCTCTTTACACACTGGCCATCTCAAGTACACAGTACACACAACGCCAAACTGGGGATGAGCAAAGTCTGCTAGGCTGAGCTCTCGTGTTAGCTCCCAGAGCTGCGCTTGGAACAAGCAAAGAGCCATCGTCATTAGCACGCTCATCATCTCCACGGGACAGAGAATGGGAAACGGTTTGAAACTCCTTGCTCCTCCATCAGTTCAGCACACCCCTTCCTCCCTCCAACCAGCCCCACCCAAGCTTTCCACAATCCACTTGCTTCCTAGATGAGAAGGGGGGAAAAACCTACTGGCTCATCTCAACTTCTGTGTGAATGATTGGTCACACATTTGGAAAAATTGGGTCAGCCTCTTCTGCACATCTGTCCTGTCTAGGTGTTCAGACTGTGCACTGTACAAGGGTAGCAGGGCTGAAGGGGTACCAGGCACTTCGTGGTTATATAGGAATGCCAATGAGAGCACACAGGTAGACACACGGATCATGGAGTCTTGGAGCAGGGGACAGGGCCCTCCTACAGGACCCAACATGGCCACGCACACACTCACGCATATCTACTCACAGACGCATACCCGTGCTGACAGATGTGCCCAGTTCCAACTGGGCTCCAGGCATCCCCCGAGACTGCTTTTCTTGCCTGCCTGCTGCTCTCGGAGGCCTGATCTTGCCCCCTACTCCAACCTGACATGGGTACCTCGTCAGCAGTGTGGGGGGAACTCGTGCTGCTGGTGGCGTGGGGACCATGTCCTGGGTACACACGAGTAGATGAGAACATGGGTACGGTGTCTGTGTGGCCAGGCAGGGCTGCTCAGACTGTGTCATGATATGTGGGCTTCAGGAACGTTTTACTTGAGCAAGGAGAGATGATTCCTGATTCTCACCAAGGTGCTGCACAGGCAGCCTCACTCTTGAGGTTTTTGTGTGTTTTCCACCGTGCAGGGGTCCCCAGGTGTGCAAATGGGCACGATGCTCAGGCTCATTCCATCCAGGGCTCTCCTTTCTCAGACAGAGGATTCACACCCAGGAAGGGGAGAGCTGTGGCCGGCTCTTGGGAAGCCCTGGATGTCTGAGCTGAGGTAGTCGGCCGGGTCAGGGTGGGGGATACTTACCAGTATTGCCCCCCAGAATCCAGCAAGTACATCTCATCTGAAGACAGCTTCCGGTGCTGCTCCTTGGTTGGACTAGGAAGGGGAGAGCCACTGAGAAGGGCACGGCCTAAGCCTGCACTGGGCAGGGTTGGGGGTGGAAGCAGGGGAACCCCTCACCCCTTATATCCCCAAGGGTCCTGGGCAAGTACTCGGTTGATGCCATGAATGTCCTCAGTGCACATCTGTTGATCTTGTACCTCACCAAGCAAGGCTCCCAGGAAGGGGAGAGAGATAGGAGCCTGGAAGGCGGGAGCCTGGAGAGCCTCAGAGAGCATCCAGGGCCACCATCTCCTCCTGCATAAGGAGACGCAGGCCAGCAGAGGCTCGGTGGCTTGTGGGAAGCTGTGTGGTAAAGCTGGGAAGGAGATGGGCCTGGACCCAGACGCTCAGTCCCGTGCCCCCTCTAACTTTCTGTGACCTCTGAGAGCAGAGGGCTCCGAGAAGCCAAGACACAGGAAGGGTGGGGGGAGGTCCTTGAGGGTGAGGCTGGAAAGCAGGAGTCGGTAAGGCCAAGGAATTCCTCTCCTGCTACGCTCTAGTGGGGAGAAGGGGTCAGGCCAAGGCAGCTGCAGGCTTGGGAGGCTCCAGGGGAGGGGATTCTGGGGTAGACCAGACTGGCCCATGGAGGGCATTTGATCTGCTCTTGCTGAGCCTGTGCCCGGCTGAGGCATTCTGATCAGCTTGGGCCCCCAAATTCCATCAGGCAGGCCTGCCGGTGTTTGTTTTCTACGGAGCCAAACATCTGGTTAGCTCACCTCTGGGCCCACCTTCATCGGCCCAGGCTGAGTAAATAGGCTTTTCTCCCTGTGTATTCGATCGTGAGCTTCAAGAATTAGCTAATATAAATAACTCACAGGAAGCCAAGGAAAAGCATCCAAAAGCAGCCCTCCCTCCCTTCCAGATCCCTCAGCCCTGTGTGCTCACAAAGTCTCAGCCTTTCGTGGCAGAAAACTGCTTGGGCCTTTTCATTTCAAGAAGACTCCCGATCCCTGACTGAGGTCCACTGCTCACCCGTAGCCCCCACAGTACTAAAGTCCTCAAACCTTAATGTGGACTTGGGTCCCAGAGCCACCACCCCCCCCCTACATACATCAGGCTCTCGATGCCCCGGGGCCCTAGAAAATTTCTTCTCCTGAAGTACCTGTAGTGGGCTAAGGCAGCATTCAGGCCACTAGCAGAGATGGTTTCGAAACTGGGTCCAGAGAAGAACGCTTCCTCTCTGGAAATCACATGGCAGAAATGGTCAACAGACGGCTCAGAAGCTAGGCTGGGCCCAGGATATCTAACCAGGGCAAATGAAGGTCACGGCTGCCTCTACCTCAGCCAGACTCCATTGGGCGCTCCCAGCCCCACCTCCCGGTGCCATCTTCCCAGGCTCCAGTCTGTCAGCTACAGAGCCTTCCAGGTCAGAGAAGGAGGGACTGTAGACACTAATTACTCCCCCTCCACCTCCATTTTACAGATGGGAAAACCAAGGCCCATGGTCCCACAGCGAGTTTGTGGTAAAGCAAGAGTAAAGAATCCTAGCTCCTTGTGTCTGAAAGCTTCCCCAGGCCCAGGGCAGCAGCCTGCACCTCAAGCCTGCTTACGGCCTGAGTCAGACGTGCTCTCAGGGAAGGTCACTCCCCAACTTGATACTTTCAAGCTGTCCAGGAGCCCCACCTGGCCTGACCCAGCCTCCCCACGGTCCTCCCTGCGGGGGAGAGAGGGTCTGTGCCTGAAGCAGACACTAGGGGGCACTGAGGGGTTGTGGCCCTTCAAGTTGGCCTGCTTTCAGCCGGCGGCCGGGGACTGTCATGGAAGACGCCCTGCCCAGCTCTCCTACTACGCACGGACCTGTTACTCCTTGTTCCAGAGAGGCCCCCCAAATACGAGGAGGGCCTTCCTTCCTGCTGAAGTAAAGAGGCCAAGTCTCCCTCCCTGCCGCCACCCCCAGACTTAAAGATAGCCTGTCCCAAAGGCGGGCGGTGGGTCTTCACCTGCGGAACTGGTCCAGCCCCTGGGCCCCTGAGAACTCATCCACCGTGCCTTTGGGCACGTTCTTCTCCAGCCACACCAAGTAGCGGATCACAGCCACGGCATCCCGCACCTGGAGCGGGCGAGCGGAGCAGGGGGCCGGCTGAGCTCGCAGCCCCGGCTCTGGGACCAGGGAGATCAGACAGCTGCCCCGGGAGCTGAGCTCCCCACACTCGAGGGCTTCCCTGACTGTTTGATGATATTAAGGGATTCTTGTCCAAGTTTATATATGATCATAGTGTGATTATGTTTTGAAAAGAGTTCTTATCTTTCAGAGATACTGACTGAAGTGCTATCTTTTAGAGATACTAAAGTTTTCACAGGAGAAACCGGATGATAGCTGGGATTTGCTTTAAAAACCATCCCTCGGCAGAGGATGGGCGTGGAGGCAAGGACCGTGGCCTTTCAGACCAAAGGGCCACAAGCTACCTAGTGCTGAAGCTGCTGGAGGGTGCGGGGCAATCACTAGGCTAGTTTTTCTACTTTTGTATATGTTTAAACTTTTCTATAAGAAAAAGTTTGGGAAAATGAGGCGATTTCTTCTCGTTTGCACAGGAATATCCAAAAAAGCAAGCCATCCTCTTGCAAGGGTGGGGAAATCAGGACAGCAAACACGTGGAATGTGCCAGGCAGTGATCAAAGCAATATATATATATATATAATTCAATATAATTGTATTTATATAATTATGTAATTCTGTTTATATATATGTAATTATATATTTATAAACTCATTATATATTTATCTATGTGCATATTTCTATTTATATGTATCTACTTATTTCTATGTAATTGTATAAAACACATGTATATGTGATTATATATTACAATTAAATATTAATTAAATATTACTTGTAATTTTTATAGCTATCATATATTATATAACACGTTTATTTATCTATTTAATCCTCACCACAACCCTATGCTGTAGATTCCTGTTATGATACGCATTTCACGTATCTAAAGTAACGGAGGCCCAGAGAGATGAAGCAACTTGCCCAAAGTCACCCAGCTTGGAGCCGGGTAGAGGAGCTGAGATTTGAACTCAGACACTCTAGCTCTGGGGCTCAGGCTCTAGACCATGGTACCAGGCTGGGAATAAGGGGACAAAGCTCAGGTGGGTGCCCAGGAGTCTGGGGTCCACTTCACTGTTTCCACTGAACTTCTTTGGGTTCTTTGGCAGGCTCTCCTTTATAACTCATCAGACCAGGAGTTCCCAACAGGCTAGGCTGCCTTCTCGTGACTTACGTGGCTGGCCCTGAGGAGGGCCTGCTCTTTGCTGTTTTTCACTGCCTTGGTCACCATCACTGGGGAGTAGGCGTCTTTTATAAGTTTTTCCTGTCATGGACAGAGAGGAAGAGGTCAGGGAGCATCTCCAGGGCAAAGTGGGGTTTGGAAAGGATTGGCAGGAAGTCCTAGCTAAACCGACACTTGCCATTCCCTATAGCGACAATGGCCTTTCCGTCCAGGGTTTTCTGGCTGCCTAGGTCTCTCCCTGTCTTCCGTGTCCGGCTGAATCTTACCTCCCTCCCTGCCCCTGAATCTGGGATTCTCTGGGATGGATCAGAGCTTAGTCCCTGGGATGGATCAGAGCTTAGCCCCTGCCGCTCCATGGGCTGTCTAACAACGTGGGATTCCCGCACTATCATATCATCACAGATAACATTTATGGAGTGCTTGCCGTGTGCCAGGCACGGGGCCTCACACGTACTATCGCCTCTAATCTCTTCAGAGCAACTCCTCTGAGGTCGGGACTCTTACTGCCATTTTGCAGGTGAGGAAACAGAGGTCCAGACTGGCTAAGTCACTTGTGCAAGGTCATTACGTAGTCAGTTCAAGGTAGAACCAGGACTCGGTCTCAGGTTTGGCGACCTCAGAGCCTCTGCCCTACCAGGCTGTGTTCCCTCTAGTCTGCTTAACAACCTCCGGGCTCTCTGCACATGGACACCTGCTTCCTCTTTTTCCATCTCCTCACAGGGAGGCCTAGAAGGGGACTGACCAGCTGTCTGAAGGGCTGAGGGGCTGTGGCCCCACTTTAGGTCAAGACTTATCAGGACTGAGGTGGGGGTGATGCCTGGCCCAGGCGGGGGTCTGGCAGACCTACCACAGGTATCACTTCATAGAGCCCGTATGTCGTGTAGCTGGTCCCGATCCAGATCTTCACGTCTCCGGAGGCATAGGTCTGGACAGTGCCACGGACCTGGCTGTAATCCTCGAGCTGCACACACATGGAGCCCGTGCAGTTGGAGTTCAGGTACTTCAGGGTCTCAGAGTCAAGGCAATTCTTGTTTACAAATAACCTGGGTCGGAAGGGAAGGTCAGGAGGGTCCTGAGGGTATCTCAGGACAACACAAAGGCAAGGATCCCTTCATTCCTAGAGGTCAGAGGAGCCCCACCAAGGGAGCCAAGCAGACCAGATTTGCAGTAGGTGGGAACAGAGGTCGAGGGTCAGGAAAAGCTGACTGGAGGCTTCCTAGCGGGCCCTGTTGGGAGCAGGCAGCAAGATCCTGGGAAGGGCAGGGTAAGTGGTGGGGTGGGCGCAGTGCAGAAGTTGGGGCAAGTCCTGGAGAGCAAGCCATACCTGATAGAGGAGTCTGTGAGCAGTGTGTAGGAATAGAAGAAGGGGTTATAAGGGATGTCACTGCCTCGAAGGTTGAAGAGCCCTGGGGAAGAGAATTGATGGAGGCTTTTTGAGGCTGATCGGCCTGAGGCAAGTCCATATCCCACCTTTGCCCCACCGTTTGCTCTGCCCGACCAAAGAGTCCCAGCCATATGCCTGCACATCTGCCTCTGAATGTTTTTCAGGGGTTTTCTTTGGGGGGATGGTTCTTTGAGGCACTGATGAGAGCTATGCCCCCTTCCTCCCAGAAAAATGAAGGCGCCCAGCCAGCAGTCAGCGTAGTTTTGGGGTGTTCCCAGCAAATCTGAAGGCCAGTGCTGGGACAGAATCGGGCAGCACGTGGTGCTAAATCGGGGAGTATGAATGCCCCAGGCTGGTGGCCGCGCCGATGGCAGATGTTAGCTGGGCCCTTTCCCTTCCGGAGACAGCCTTTGTCGCTGTGGTCAGCCCATTCCTCTGATGGCCCATAGGCTGGCTCCAGCTTGCTCTGGACCTCCTGGTTTTCTTATTCAGCCGCCATGATCTCCTGCCCCCTAGCTTTCTCACTTCCCACAGGCCATGGCCATGGACTTCACGGAACCCATGGTTATAAGGTGATTGGGGGAGGAATCCAGTGCTGCAGGGCCCAGGAGGCATGGGGGCTGGGGGGAACCAGGTGCCCGCCCCGTGTCCACAAGTCCATACTCACAGGCCGTCTCATCGAGTGCCGACAGAAGGACTGCAGTTGGGCCTTTGCGATGCTTCTGCATCTGGCTGCGGATGTCAGCTACCTTCTCTTTCCAGGTGCTCCCTAGAAGCAAAGGTGCCCAGAGAAAGCATAAGCGACATACTTTCCCTTTGGCACACTGTTTCTGAGAGGGATCCCTTAGGGCAATCATTTTCCATGGCTTTCAAAGCAATAGGAAGCTTTCTCCAAACAAACTCTCACTAATGTAGTTGTTAAGGACATGGACTCTGGAACAACTGTCTGCGTTCGAATCCTGGCCCTGCCATTACTAGTTGTGTGAACTTGGACAAATTCCTTAACCCCTCTGGGTCTTATCCTGCATACCTGTAGAATGAGGATGGATTATCATGATAGTATCTAGTCAATAGGGTTGTTATGGGGCTCAGATGAATTAATATTTGTAATGCGCACAGAGTGGTGTCTTGGTGTATAGTAAGCCTGATGTAACTTACTGATCAATAAATAAGCATGCAGAACAGAGATCGAGAGAGCAGCCTTAGTTGAAGGGCGAAGGGATCAGACTAGGTCATGTTCAAGCCTCTTTTCTGAAATGACCTGGTGCCTAATTAGCCATGAGTCCCTGAAAATTGTTTTAATCCCTCTTTGACCCATTTTACAGATTTTATAGAGACTTCAAGGAGGAAGAGTGACTTGTCTAGGGTTTCATAGCTAGCAAGGGGGTAGAGTTGAGATTTCCAGGTAGGTCTGTTTGACTACATGACCCACCCTCTTAGGCTATATGGACACTGGACTGTCTTGCTAACGTTGTCCGTCCCCAGACTTGTCCTTAAACTCTGTGTCCCAGAGCTGTCCTTCCTAGGATGCTTGTACCCTGGTTCTAGTTCTCATCTTTTATTCCTACTCTCTGCAATGCAGATGAAGAGTCTGCCCCTAGGCAGGGCTCATAATTTGCTGGCAGAAGGTCGTAAACATTAAGGGTCCCAGTTGGGCTCAGAGATTAGGCATAAGTAACTTAATGCCATTTATAAAAAACTTTATGCAAATGGGTAAAAACTATTCAACAAAAGCCAGAGTTTTGGGTGATACTTGTTAAGGATTATCTTATTTTATTGAGTAAAATATACATACAGTAAAATTTATCATTTTAACCATTTTAAAAAGTGCACAATTCAGTGGCTTTAAGAACATTCACACAATTGGGGCGCCTGGGTGGCTCGATTGTTAAGTATCTGCCTTTGCCTTAGGTCATGATCCCAGGGTCCCAGGATGGAGCCACATCTGGCTCCTTGCTCAGCAAAAAGCCTGCTTTCTCCCTCTCCCACCTCCTCTGCTTGTGTTCCCTCTCTCCTATGCCCCTCTCTGTCAAATAAATAAATAAAATCTTTAAAAAAATAACATTCACATGATTGTGCAACCACCACCACTATCTAATTCCAGAACATTTTTATCATCCCAAAAGGAAACCCTGTAGCCATAAGCAGTCACTCCCCATTGCCCTTCTCACTCAGCCCCTGGAAACAATTCACCGGCTTTCCATGTCTATGGATTTACCTGTACTGGATATTTCATACAAATGGAATCATACACTATGAGGCCTTCTCTGGCTTCTTTGTTTAGAATTATGTTATCAAGTTTCATGAATGTGTGACAACAATGAAGGCAAATTTAAATTGTCTGATGCATACAGGTATCTTTGAATAATTAACTTTTCACAGTCTTCTCTTTTTCCGTTGCCCCTTTTAAAGCCTATCAGTTGCTAGAGAGAAAGTCTTGCTTGCCTTTGTAAGCTTATAGACGCAAGAACTCTGTGCTTGGGCTTCTGGGCCCAGTTCCGGCTCTGGATGGCTCTTCCTTGAAGACTAGCAGTCTGTGAAGACTCAGGATTACCGTCACTCGTGGGCAGTGACAAATCCCGTATGAATTCTCCCTCCATCCTTGGAAGGCTTTCCCCCTTTATCCCCTCCTTTTCCTGACATAACTTCACCCTTCTTTATCTGAAAGGGATGAGTTTTACTTACGATTACACAGTCTCGGCTAGCAAATTTAAAAACGTTTTCGAGATACAGAATGATTCTGCAAATTATATCAGAACGGATAAAGAAAATTGGACACAATTTTAGCTTGTTTCATCATCCTTGCTATTTTGAAATTTCCCTCCTGCTTTCTTGACTCCTTTTCAAACAAGGAATGTGCACGGACCTGGATGAGGATAGGGGCCTCTCTGATTGCCCAACATTCCTAGGAATCCACATCCATGCGCTCTTTTGGAATTCCTGGGGAGGTAGGGGGTGGTGGTGGCCAAGACAGTGATTCATCATCAGTAGCCTGGTTCCGGTCAGGATTTTAGTTAACCACTTACCAGAATCATAGAACATGCTGTTCTTTTAGGACATATTTAGATGGTATCAATGAGGTCAAAGTGAAGATTAGCTATGTTAGAATTTGGGGTGATCACTTCACTTTCCTTTTGCTCTGGCCAAAACCTGAGCCGTAATTTGTGCCATGGATGGCCCCTGAGCTTAGTTATATACTTCCTTTGTCAGCCGGCCCACCTGACCCTAGTCATCTTACTCCAGGAGGGCTGGAAGGCAGGGTTTGAATGGATCAATACAAGCCAATCTCCACTACTGGACAAGCAGCTCATATCATGTTTTTTTTCTCTCTCTTCAAAGGGGTAGGGTACTTTTTTTTTTTTTTAAATCTTGCTCTGACTCCCTTGTTTCCTCCTTTCCTGTTCCTTCTTGCTTCAAATCTCAACACTATTTATTCCAGCATTTTCTATATATGGTGTGAGGACCTTTTGATTCAGATGGAGATCTTTGAGATGAGAGGGCCCAGACGTCTGCTTTTTCAATAAGCATCCCAGGCAACTCGGGTGCACAAGAAAGTTTGAGAACCTTTGCTTTGGTAATTCCCAGGACAACATTTTCAGCCAAAGGAGCAGCAGTAGGGACCGTGTTGCTTCAAGCTGGGAAGAACATGCTTAGAGAATCACCTGTGAATGCGTCCTGCAGGGCATAAATGGGCTGGCTTGGAAACGGAGGCTTCTCTGATCCCCATGCCAGGTCCACAAGGTTGGCTGTGGTGGACGCCAGTTTTATGTTAGAGTTTTTGAGAGCCGTGTTGTAACTCTCCCAGGAACCTGTAGAGACAGAAATCCGTCACTCGTCCCCTGCCTGTTTACACCTCAGGAAAAACTGACTCGGGCAAAATTAGTCCTTGTCTGCTCTGCCTCCCACTCCACTCCTGCTGCCTCAGCTGCCCAGAGCAGGTCCAATCAGTCTGGTCCTCCTGGGGTATGTCCTCCCAGCCCCCTCTTTCTGCTTTCAAAGCCCCATTGCCTGGGGCCCACTCCAACGCTGCCCACAGCCTACTGGCTAGGTTTATCTTTTTAAGTGCCAGTGGCAGTGGGGCCTTCTTCTCAGGAGTATCCATTTTAACAGCACATCAGTGCCCCTGCCCAAAGGAATGGTGATGTTCACACCATCACCATCAGAAAGGCTGACAAAAGGATGCCTGGGTGGCTCAGTTGGTTGGACGACTGCCTTCGGGTCGCGTCACGATCCCGGAGTCCCGGGATCGAGTCCCGCATCAGGCTCCCAGCTCCATGGGGATTCTGCTTCTCCCTCTGACCTTCTCCTTGCTCATGCTCTCTCTCACTGTCTCTCTCTCAAATAAATAAATAAAATCTTAAAAAAAAAAGGCAGGCTGACAAAGAAGCCAGCTCTGAAGGGGAGCCTTTAGATACACATACATGATGACTTTGCCCTTGGGGGCAATCTGGCCAGCTGGCTGGGGTCCCAGAGCTGAGGGAGCTGTATTTCTGGGAGGAGGGGAGCATTCACCTTTGCTCAGAAACCCACTGAACTCCTTTGACCTTCCAAGCTGCCTTCCAGAAGAGGGCTACCGAATGATTCTAGCGCCATAACTGGTAGAGCTCCAGAGCATAGAGGATGGTTCTGGGTTCAAGAACATCCTGGCCTACTGTCTGCTAGATCTTAATGACTCCTCAAGTCTTCTAGGTTGGGTCTCTGTACTCGTGACTTTGAAAAAAAAAATCTGCATTCATTCTTTTACATATACTTTAATTTCGCAATCCATGAATAAATCTTTGTTGCAAAATATTCTGCAACTACAACTTCAGACACTATCTTTGGAGTCATCCTGTCCCTCCTTCTACCAAGGAATGCTTCTTTACATCCCAGAGCGGCTGAGTCACCCTTGTTGGTGGGGACAAATGCAGGAGTGAGGGACGAACATACCGATGGAGAAGAGAAAGGGGTCGAAGCCCACACTGCCTCCGGCAGGAAACTCATTGAGGAGCCAGGTGACGATGGAAGTTATGTCAACTGAGAGGAAGACAGGAAAGAATGTAGTGTCACTTCCAGGGCCGGACCCAGGCCTTCCTGTCAGACTTCTGTCTGTGACCGGCCTACCATATCTGTCCTCCGCGATGTTAGCCTCAAAGCTTACGGACGGCTTCAGATTTCCAGAGTCTCCCATAGAGGCCCATCATGGTTTTGCATGCATTTTCTTACCTGTGCCTTCTTGAGCCTCGTCCGGTTTCAGAGTTGGGGGGACACGTGACCCCTTTTACCTTCTTTATGTAGCTCCCAGTTGCAGTCCATCTGCCGCTCAGCCTGGGTCCAGTAGCGACTGTCAGTCCAGAGACCTGCTTTCCCCATGGTCACCACTGCCGTTCCTGGGGAAGAGCAGAGAACCTTGGAGGTGAGGATGAAGGTGGGGACGGTGGCCTTGGGTAATGCCTGGGCAGTATGGTGCTGGGCAGTATGGTGCTGGCTCTGAGAATGTCACAGGGGCCTCTGGAAAGAACTTCTCTCCTCCGTTGCAAGGAAATAAGGCAGGAGACACTGAGGAAAGCATTAGGGAAAGCCAGCCTGGGCATACCTGCTTTGTGTTGAGGGCCTCTCCTAAGGAGGGATGAGTGGGTTCTGCTTCTCACAGTCCCACAGACTCAATGCTACATGTAGATGCTCTCAGGAAAGATGGTATGGTAGCTAGTCTCAAGACTCAGTGACTGATAAGGACACTAAGCCAGGGGCTTAGCTGAAGACAGGCAGAGGAGCCAAACCCAGAGATCTTGGCAAGGATGGGTAAGGCAAGGGAGTGTGAAGCCCAGGGGAAGAATGTTTAAGGATCAGCAAGGGAAGCTTGAATTTCATTCGAGGGGCCAAGATCAGGGTGGGAGGTCCCTTCAGAAACTGGGACCCCATAAAGGGCCTCTGTGTTTGCGTCTCATTTGGCTACAGGAGGTGTTGTCCAGAGAAACGACCGGCCAGGTAAAACTGTCCCCAAGTGAGACACTTGTGAAGGGAATCAGTGGGCCCCTAGTGGCTGGATGTGGACGTAGCAGCTGTTCCTGAAAGGAAGCCCAGGGTGTGCTAAGCTAGGCCTGGCTGTGGCAGGGCAGCAAGCACAGGAGCAAAGCCAGGAGAGCCATCTGCCTCATGCAGAAGTGTAGCTAGTGAGCTATGATGTGTGCCCTAGCGACCCTTTTCAGAGAGGTGGAGGGGAGGCGGAGCCTCTGACACTAGGTCCTGGGGTCCTGGCTTCTGAGAACTGGCCACATCAGAGCCTCTGGGACCATGTCTGGGTCTACCAACAGAAGCAATAAGGGCTGAATGGCTCTCACCTGCTGACCCTGTAAAGCCTGTAATCCACGCACGCCTCTTATCACGATTGCCGATATACTCACTCTAGGAAATCAATAACACCATCATTAGCCTTTTTCATGGAGTTAGACCCCTAACCCTCATGGAAGACCCCCAACCACATCCCAGTTCTTTCTGTCTGGTCAGATTCTACCAGTTCTACAAGCCCAGGCACACTGGGCACCTCTTCCAGGAAGTCCTCTGTCACTCCTCCAGATCTCAGATCTCCTCTTCCTTCGGACAGCTGTATTTCTCGGAGTCTAAATCCCATAGTCCAGCACTAGGCAGAACAGCCTGAGAAATCTCATCTCCCTGGCCAGAATGCAAATTCTGTGCAGTCTGGGATCATGTCTTTCGGTCCTTCTGGGTTCTTCCCTCCAGCTGTCCCGCCCCTCCCTAGTCTAGTACAGTACACTGAGTACATCATGAAGAACTTCTGCAGAGGGCTTCCCACATTATTGTATTTTGATCGTCATCATCCTTCAAGACAGATCTCAATATTTCCATTTTGCAGAAGAGGAAACTGAGGCTCAGAGAAGTTGAGACACTTACCCAAGGTAAAAAAACAAATTCAAGCAATCTCATTGACACTGAAAGTGGCTTCTTTTCCAAACAGCTAGTGCTGGGAAGGTGAATGGGATGGAGGTGGGACCAGTGGTGGGGAAAGGATGGGTTGGGTGCATAGGGTTGCGGCTTTGGGAAAAGCAGTTCTTACTCAGACAATCTTGTTTCCTGTCTGCTCCCCTCCCCCAACCTACACCTCAAACTTGTGTAGCCCAGGCCTCTGGATCATTCCAATGCTCCATCCATCAGGTTATGGGAAGGTTAGAATTCCTCCAGTCCAATTCCTAGCCCATACTCTAACCTCCTAGGCCAGAGTGCCCTAAACATTCATTCTGGATCTGCCATCTGAGAATGATCGAAATAGGTTCTGAACTTATTAATAGTTTCACTGCCTGAAGTCAAGGAGCTCTAGCAGTGTCTTCTCTCCTATGCAAAGAAATACATTCTCTCAGCTTCCCTAAAACTCCCATGTCTAAGCCCCCTATTTCCTTCCCTTTGCCTTTTGAATCCTTTCTCTGCCTTCATCTTCTGAGCCTTAACGGCCTCTGGTTTGTGGCCTGTTCTCATTGGCGGTCGACCCAGGAGAGCGGAGGGCGCGGGTGGGGGAGGAGCTGTCCCTCACCATGTGGGCATCCGTTTCAGGGATGATGTAGGCAGAGAGATTCTTGATGCGCATCTGCTGGCGGAGGGCTGTGAGCTGTGCCGTGGTATTGACCGCAGTAACTGGAAGGTACTGACAGGTGACAGGAAGACACCAAGACACACACAGAGACACACTGCTTAGAGAGGATGATGCCTGGGCCCAGTGTCAGGAGGCGCTGCCACCCTCTCCTTAGGCAGGTGTTGGGAGTGGGTAGACTGGGCCAGCCTGGAGAGGAATGGGGTGGCAGCTGATAGTATGGGTTAGTCTTGATTAAGGGGCCTGGGCTAAGCGGAGATGGAGGTGTTGATGAACTTGGAGAGGAACTCCTTGTGACAGTAAATGGACCTGGGTCTGGGATGGGGGCATGAGTGAGAACGACATGAAACTGAACCCCTGCACTGGGCCAGGCTGGAGGGACAGTCTTTCTCTGGATACCCGGAGGCGGAGTTGCCAATTTAGCAAATCAAAATACAGGATATCCATCCAGTCACATTTGAATTTCAGATAAGCCACATACAATGTTTTGGTATAAATATGACCCATGCACTATTTGGGGCATACTTATACTAAGAAACATATTCATTATTTGAAATTCAGATGTCATTGGGCACCCTGTATTTCATCTGGCAATCCTACCTTGGGGGCTTTTTCGAGTTTCTACTCAAATGGCAGAGGAGAGTGAATGAGTACCCCCAGAAATTTGGAGCATTATCCAGAAAGATCCCCTCTAAGCCAGACATTTCTTTAAAGGCTGTTTTATCTTTAAAATGAAAAGTGTGGGTTTTTGTTTTGTTTTACCTTCTGCTCAATGACATATCCATGTTTGTTTTCCTGTAGAAGCCTACCCACCAGCCTGCCCCAGTGGTCTCATAGTTGAGACAGGAAGCAGATATACCCCATGGGCCCTGAGGCTTCCGGGAACTGCTAGCAGGCCACCAGCTTTCACCTCTGTCTTGCCCCTGCCTGAGGAAGCTCTTTCGCCATACTCTGGTTGTGGGAAGAATCTTCTGGTCTCCAGGTAGGAAGCTGCTTACCTCTCACCTCCAATATGCCAGACCTTCTCCCCAGTCACACCCTAGGCCTCCCTCTTGTCCTTTCTGTTGGCATTTCTAGTTCTCTGTCTTCCTCCCTCCTCTTTCTGGGCCTCCCTCTGAGCTCGCTGTTCCTTTAGAACTTTTGTTTTCTCTCCTCCCATCCTCCTGCTTGCCTCTGCCTAGCCTCAGCCAAAGGCTAGCTAGGAGCCTCCACCCTCCTTCCCGCCCTCCCCCCTTGAGGGGAGCAGACCAGGCCAGGACAGAAATAGATAACCTGCTGTGGGATGGATGGGTAGGAGGGAGGGATGCGGGGGTGTCAGACACCTGAGAACGTGAGGCCCGCCCTGAGAGATGTTAATCAGAAACAGGGGCCCCAGAGTCCGGAAGTCAGGAGAAAGGCTGGTAAGAGGGAAAGGCTAGCAACTGAGCCCGTGGGGGATGGGGAGGAGATGGGAGCTAAGGGGCAGGTCCGGGGCGGGGCGGGGCCGGGGCGGGGCCTTACCGGAGGGCTGATGGAGCAGTTTCTCACATCCTCTCCACTCAGGTCCACTGGTTTAGGGTGGCCCCAGGCACCCAAAGCTAGAAACGGCGAAGGGGAGAGGTGGAGAATTAGGGTCACTTGGAGACCAGTTAGCTTCTAGAGAGCACAGGTACTTGGTCCCCCAAATCGCACTGCCTATCCCCCCCTGGCCTCCGTCCTTTGAAACAAGCAGTGCTGTCCAAGTCGAGGATAAAAATAATCACATTTCATGGGAAATTTGGTGGAATGGGATGGCACCCTGGGTCACAATCAAAGAAACCTGTTTCATCGACAAGTGATTGCCACTTTTGCAGGGGTTTTAGTGCTCATTAAATCAATTTTTCCCTTCTAATCTAATTGGGTCTTTTCAGGGTTTACTGAACTGTTGTGTGCAAATTAAATTTTTGTAATCAAATTTTCTTTGAAATGCTCTAGAGGATCTCGCTAAATAATCACCCCACCTTCATTTTACCCTTCTATAAATCTAATTTTATATATATTGGGTTTACTTAAGTTCAAGGCCCACTTGTGCCATTTATTATAGTCCAAATCTCTGGCTCTCATTCCAGGCCCATTTTAAATACATAAAACAGTCAATCCCAGTCTGACATCGTCGCCTGGTGGAGAAAGGTAGGTTAGCATTTAAAGATCTTCTACTATGTGCCAGATGCTGAGCTCAGTAATTTATCTGTAGTATCTTTCTCTATACTTGCAACAAGCCTGTGAGGTGGGTATTACTGTCTATTTTCTACAGAGGAGGAAGCTGAAGCCCAGATAGGTTTGGTAACTGGTCCAGATTTTGCCACAGTGAGTCAGTGGTAAAGCAGGGATTTGAACCTGGGCCATCTGAGTACAAAAAGTTAACCACAGAAGGGTGGTGACACAGAAAGGACAGAGTATATGAAGTCTTAGTTTCCAATTTGGGCTCTGCCCCAAATTTGGTGTGACTTAAGGAGAGTCACCCGGTATTCACTGGGCAAACATTTCCTAAGTACCTACTGTGTGCCAGATACTGGGCTAAGTCCTACAGTCTCGGGCCTTCCAGCCCCCAAAATCCAGTGGTCTCTGATAGTACCTTCCCTACAGCCCTGGCCTTTAGGGTTGTCCTCAGAGGGTAATGGGGGTCTGGGTAGAGGGAGACACTATACTTTTACCTCCCAAGTGGACTGAGCTACAGATAGGAGGGCGGCTGGCATCTAACTCCATAAACCACTTGCCCAGCTGTCCTGGTCTCATAAACTCAAGGGGGAGATAAGACCCATGGTGTTGATCTAAGAAAATGATCCCATTTCTGTAGGAACAGATTGTTGGCAAAATGGTGTTTCTGAGATGCCAATATAAGAAGGAAGACTCAGCCAACCTGGGTCCCTCTGGACACCCAGATTGTTGTTCTCTGAGGCAGGGGCTGTGGCTCCCGAGGGCAGGCTCTGCGGCTGTGTCTCTCTGTGTTTCCTGACACAGGGACCTTGGGGCAGTGCTCAGGAATTGGGTGCTGACTGAACAAGTGGGATCTTGTGGACAGAAAGGGGAGGGAAGGGAGGCATCCCTGAGGCTGGGGATGGAGTGCGTGTGGAGGGCATTGAGCTGGGGAATCAAGTTGTGACCAAAGAGGAAAACAGAGCACCAGAGGAGTGACCAAGACTGAACTTTAGTTAGGCTCTTTCAAGCCGCTTTACTTGGATTTGACTTTGTCTATGTCCATCCTGTCCTTGCTGGGTCTGCATCACCCAGTCCTCAATAAGAATCTTGCTAAGCCAGTTTAGAGACAATCCCCCACCCTTAATATCTGATCACCTTTGCTATCTGATCAAATTCCTCATCCTTCACCCTTCATATCTGTTCACCCTGGCCTGCCTCCAGCAAGAATCCTATAAAGTTGGCTCAGCAAGAACCCCCCACCCCTGATGTCTCCTCTTAGTAATTTTCCATCCACTGTCCCCCTCACTCTGTTCATTGGCTCTAAATCCTCAGCCATCTTAGCTGTATTCAGGGTTGAGCCCTTATTGCAATAGCTTTGAATAAAGTCTGACTTACTCTTAACAAGTGCCAGAATCATCTTTTCTTTAACAGGCAGGAATGGAAAGGTGCCAAACCAGATTGATGTGAGTCTGGAGGGCCCCAAGGACTGACCCCGGTGTTCTTCTTTCACAAGACAGAGAGGAGGACCAGGAGGGAAAGAGACAACCTGGGCCCCCGCCCTTACTCCAACCCTTTCTGAGCCCAGAGGGGAGAGGCCAGAGCTGCTCTCCAGCTGGACCTGCCCTCCCAGTGTGGGAGGGTGGGACCAGGATGCACATACCACAGAAGAGGACAAGCCAGGGGCAGCAGCCCCAGCGAGCACAGGCCATGGGGTCTCCAGATGCTGGTGCTGGGTGGATGGAGGGATGGGGGAGAAGGGGCAGGCTGTTTCCCTGGCCTCTCCCTCCAGGCCTTCCCAGGGCAGGAGCAGCCAGGGGGTTGGGGCTGGCGACGGGGAGGAGACGTCCGGCCGGTGGATGGAGAGTTCCCCTCTGGTCTCTTGCATCTGAGGACTCCGAGAGTCAGGAGTGGGGAGTACGGGTGGGTGGGGAAGATTGGGCTCTCTGAGCCCGCCCAGTGCGAGTCCAAAGATCTCCAGGGCAGAGGAGCAGCAGCTGGTCTCAATCAGCCTGCTCCTCCCCCTCCCCCCCTTTTAGCAGCTCGCCTCAGTCGTTCCTGATTGCTGTCCCCCTCCTTCCAGCAAGCTGTTTCCCATTAGCTCCCCCACCCCCGGCTCTGGCTCCAAGATGAATGTTTATCCTTCCTCCTCCTCTGAGCTGGCCTATCTCAGACAAAGCCAGTGTCCTCTCTCCCTAGTGTTTGGGAAGCCCCACTGCACCCCTCAGGGAAGTTGGTTACAGCTGGAGAGCTACTTTCTTCAGTTGGGGGTTCGTCCCTTCAGGAAAGCCCACTCTGAAAAGTGCCGCCAGCCACTGGCAGAACTGCCCTTCTCCTGGGACGGCGGGGACAGCGGGGTCCCACTCACTATTCAGCCATTGGAGCCATTCTTGGAACCACTCCTGTGTGGGAGGGAGTGAAGGCCTTGTTTGGAGGGATCAGAGGATGTCACTGAAGAGAGAAAAAGACTAAAAAAGGGGAGTTTGGGGGCTCCCAGAAGACATATTTGGTGAACTGGACATGACCTTTCTGCCATAGCTTCTAGAACAAGGCTTTGGTTCCCCTGAAGTAGGGATCACTCCTAACCAGCATGAGTCCCTACAGGGGAAGTGGGGAACACAGGCCCAGCCTCGTCTCCACACCTGTGGCCTCAGTTGGCAACTCGCTGCACCGGCGCCTAGAGAGCTCCCAGGAAATGCCCTCTAGAATGCGTGGCCAGAAAGCAATACTTCTAAGAGACAAACAGACCCAAAGGACAGGTGCTTACCTAGTCTAGAAGGCCCCAGAGGTAAACTTTTGATTTTATTTTTAATGTATTTATACTCTGCTTACATCCACAAGTTTAAGATGGCTTTCAAATAATCCATTCAAATACAATAAAATAGACTCATTGGGAAGAGCAAAAGGGGGTCTTCATGAGATTCCCTGAAGAAGGGGAATTAAAATGAGTGAGGAGGTTCAGTGAACTCCACCTCCAGGAGTAAAGGCAGAGGGCAGAGCCCCACGGCCTCAGAGGATAAGCCAGGGACGAGGACTATGAGAACCTTGAGTGGCTCTGGGACCACTGACCCTCCTTCTGTCTTTTCCCTGTACCCCCACCCCATATTCCAGGACTGGGAATGACATGATTCCTAGAGACCAGAGGACGGGGGACATGTCCCCACAAAGGCCCTTTCCTCCCCTGTGCACTGTACTAGCCATCCTGAAGGGCAAGCAGGTAGACTTGACCAGGCCATGCAGAGGAGGGACCCCAAAGACAGACTTTTAGGACAGACAGGCCCACCTTTCCCAGTGGAGCCAGACTTCTTTGAGTTTCCTACCAGTGAAATACAATAATAATAGGACTAACTTCTTAGCAGGGTGATGAGGACTAAATGAGTTCATGTTTGTGAAGCTCTCAGAACGTGCTTGGCATAAAGGGTCAATGCGATATGAGTGTTTGTGAAGTCAAATATGTAACTACAACAAAAACCGGTGTTGTCTGCACCTTGTTCTCTCTGCCCCTGGCATCCAGCACTGCTGAAATGGCAGTTAATATTATAGCAGAGATTAGCTGGGCCGAAGTGTCAACCCTGGAAGCAAATAAACCAAGCAGGCCCCCCTCCCCCATCTTCTGGACTCTGCTCCAGGGATGGTCTTGGAGGCTACCGAGGCCAAACACAGTACTCAGCCCTGCGGTCCTGTCCCCAGTCTCCCTGTCTTGGCTCCGATGGCAGTGAAGACCTCACCTGCTTTTGCCCTCAGCTTATCTCATCTCAAAAGCAATGTCTTTACTCATCAGTTGGGGATACTTGAACTCAAGCTGGCAAAAGGCGTGGAGTGGGAAGAAACGATTGAGGGTGGGGAGGGTGAATGACTAAGAGTCCTTGTATGGAAGTGGTTTAGAAGCACCGTAGGGAAGTCCCCGGAACCTCAGTGTGGCCCGCACGGGCAGCCTGCCTCCGTTGGTCTCACTCCAAGGCCCAGGCCTAGCTGAAAGCTCAAGTTCTGAAGGCAGAAACATTGTTTTGTCTCCCTCCTGTCCATGCCTCTCGTTTTGCACCCTGAGGCCCCCTCAGGCTGGTCACTCTGTCTTCCGACCTGGGTCTGCCCTCCCTGGGCAATGGTGTCTACCTAACTTCCAACAGAATGCGCCTACCTGACCTGCATGGTTTCCCGCTTAGGGACAGAAGGTGTCCCAAGTCAAGGGCAGATCACAGGAATGACATGTTCCCTGCATGTGGCAGAAAATCCATGGAAAGAGACCGGTGTGTGGGGAGCCCTAGCACCAGGGCTAGGTCTGCTGTGGTTCCCTCTGGAAGAGTGGAACCAGAGGAAGGCCTGGGAAGGGAGGTGAGAACCAGCAGGCCAGAGGAGCAGAGGACATCCTGGCAGTCTGGGGGAGCGGCAGTAGGGCGACCATTGGCAGGAGACGCACAGAAATGACACCACAGGCAGCAGTCATGGGCTGGGTCAGGGAGCAGGGAGCAGATTGGTGGTAATGACATCAGCAGTAGCTTGAGAGAGCCTGGAACAGCCCCAGAGCAGCAGGAAAGTCAGAGACCCACGGGCGGGGTGTGGGAGTGGCTCTGAGCATGGCCAAGCACCCTGCTGGGGATATCCCAGGATACTACTGAGGATGAAACCTTCGAAGGGGTGTCCCATGGTTACAAAGGTGGGAAGGGGAGTTCAAACCTAACTGTTGATATGACCTCGGAGGCTGAGACTGGGTGCCCTTCACCAGGTGGGCATAGCCCCTTCCCAGCCTTCCATCAGGCTTGTCAGCCATGCTGGGCGACAAGTGGTGTCCTTACCTGCAGAAGAGGAGACGGGCCGGAGAAGAATAGTGGCTTAGTCCAGGTTCCAGCTGATCGGTGGCAGGGGGTGTTAGAGCCCTTGTTCCCTCCACTGAGCTTCCTCAATGCTCCCGTCTGAAGTTCCTCCATGGCTCCCAGTCCTCAGGACAGAATTCAGTCTCTCTGGTTCATTGGCCATGGCCTTCCTCCCTGAAACATCCCATCGCCCATCTCTCCTCAGCCACATTTTCTCCATCCATCAGAGTCTAGTTCAAAAGTCACCTCATTCACCATATCCTGACCTCCACCTCAAATTCCTCCCTCCATAATGGGGGTTCCCATAACATTTTGTTTGAACCCCTATTTAAAAAGCTTTGTGTTGGGCTGCCTGGTTGGCTCAGTTGGTTGAGCCACTGCCTTTGGCTCAGGTCACGATCCTGGGATCCTGAGATTAAGCCCCACATTGAGCCCCCCATCGGGGTCCTTGCTCTGGGGGAGTCTGCTTCTCCCTTCCCCTTTATCCCTCTCCAGACTCTTGTGCAAGCTCTCTCTCAAATAAATAAATAAAATCTTAAGAAAAAAAGCTTTGTGTTAGCCCTTTGCTTTCTTGATTCTGCCCTTCTAGGTCACCCATCCCTGAGGGGCAGGAGCCTGCTTTTATAAATTACTGGATGTACCAAAGCATCCGGGACAGAGTCTGGCGAAGAGTGGGCTCAATAAAAGTTTGGTGACTTGATGCCGAACAATCAACCCCAACAATGTGTGGTCTAGCCTCCCATCCTGAACCCAAAAGGAATGCGCTTGAACCCCCAGAAGGCTGCCACAGTGTTGTGGGTGGCCCTTCTATCACATATGCCCTGTTTTTTAAAAAAAAGATTTTATTTATTCATTTAAGAGAGAGAGAGAGACAGAGAGACAGAGAGAACACAAGCAGAGAGAGGCAGAGGTAAAAGCAGACTCCACGCTGAGCTGAAAGACCCCAACGTGGGGCTCGATCCCAGGACCTGGAAATCATGACCTGAGCCAAAGGCAGATGCATAACCATCTGAGCCACCCAGATGCCCCCAAATATGCCCAGTTTTGACAAAAAGCCAGCACTGCCTGAGTTGTGTGTGTGTATGCATGCATGTGTATAAATATGGGGGCGGTCACAGGGGGTGGAGGCATGAGTCAGTTTCATAGAAGTGGGTGTTTGCTGTGATGAGACCCAGAACCTCACCCCCCAGCCAGCCAGGCAGCAGGAAGGGGGTTTATCAGCAGAAAGGGGGTTTATCCCCTCAGAGTGAGGTTTGGGCTTCCCTCTGCTGTGATTAGAGGATGCAGCGGGCAGCTCCCTTCCAGCAGGAGGCTCCTTCTCCTCATGAAATAAGTTGGTGGTTATGGTCCAAGAACTTTTTTAGCGAGGTACAGTGCACCTGGCTGGAGCCCTTGTGAGCCAGTTAGCTTGGTTCAGTTTTGTGGGCACAGACTGAGTCACATCCTGAGCCCTGGCTGCGTGCTAAGCTCAGTAAGTCATGGTACAAGCCTATGCTGCCCTCCTCAGAGGCCTTGCACTACATGCGGTCAGAGCACCAGTGTGGCTCACCAAGGTTCCAGTCAACTCCATGTAAGCCTCTCTTTGGGGTCCTTGGGCATTCTCCCAACCATCTCTCTTTGGTAACCTGATCCCTTTCTACTTCTCTGTCAGCTTATGCCTCTCTCCTCACTGTGTCCTTGCTAACCACACAGCCCTTCTGTCAGTCTCGAATACTCGACATGCCCCGTCTAGCCACAGGGCCGTTGCTTGTTCTTTTTTTCACCACCTGGTATGCCCTTCCTTCCTCTCTTGCCCTGTGAACTCCTTCTCCTTCAAGTCTCACCTCAAGTATCACTTCATCTGGAAAGCTTGCCCTGACCCCCTTGGTAGGTCGAATTTCCCTATTAGTCCTCTTACTGCCTTTGTCACTGTTCCCACCATCTGCCTCCCAACACTTCCCCAGACATGGAGAGGATCATGGCTCCTGGCTGTCTCTCCCCCTCACATCTGCTGTTACCCTGGGTGACAGCAAGGTTCCTTTCAACAATCTAACTGATTAAAAAAAAAAAAACTACCTGATATCCAAGTTCTTTAAGTTCAAGCCCCTCCAGTCAAAGTCTTTCTC